CCGCCGCTGGGACGACATCGCGGCCCGCGGGGCTCCGGGGACGGCTCCGGGCACTTCCTCCTCCCCGACCCCGCCTTCCCGCCGAGGGTCCCCGAGTCCGAGCGCTGAGCCCCGCTCCCCGGAGCCAGGCCTGCGGGCGCCCCCTGGCGGCGTCCTGAGGAGGGGAGGGGCGCGGCCGGAGAGAGAGAGAGGACTTCCGGGAGCGTCCGGGCCCGCAGGCCACGCCCCTCCACTCCAGCAGTCGCGGTTAGGTAGTCTTGGTTAGTACGTTCAGTTTCCTCCTGGAGAGAACACCAGTCTATTCGTACAAATCCTCCCCCTTTCCAGCCTTCCATCCGGGATTAAAACCATCACATATTAACGAGGTTTGGATGCTAGCAGCAAGCTAATCCCTTAACAAGATTTTATATTGCCGGGCGTCGGTGTCTCACGCCTGTAATCCTAGCTACGCAGGAGGCTGAGATCTGAGGATCCCAGTTAGAAGCCAGCAGGAAAGTCTGAGATTCATCTCCTGTTAACCACCAAAAAACTGGAAGTGGCCCTGTGGCTCAAACGTTAGAGTGCTGGCCTTCAGCAAAAAGGGGCTCAAAGCCAAGGCCCAGACCCAGAATTCAAGCTCCAGGACAGGCAAAATAAAATAAAAATTAAAGTTTTTAATTTTTTGTGATGCTAGGGATGGAACCAGGGGCACCACACATGTTCGGTCAGGGCTCTACCACTAGCTTACATCTTCTGGGGAACTCATTTAAATATTAAACTCTCAAAAGCCGATGGTGAAAGGATAGATTTGGTTAAGTAGATTAATTCGGGCCCAGGACTCCTGGGGAACATCTCTAAGTGGAAAGCATTCTGATTTGGCAAGCTGAGACTAAACTAGGGAAAAAGCATGATTCAAAAATCCCACCCCTAAAGAGAATGCTTCACCGTTTCTCCATCCCTCCCAGTTCTTCCCAATCTTCATTGGGTGGCTTGGAATACAGTAGACAAACCCAGTCTATGATAACTCAAGTCTCATTTTGGCAGTGATTTAGCAGGTCTTCTCATTGCATAGGGGTGACCAATAGGAGCTCAGTCCAGAGTATAAATTCCCTAGACTTAGATCCATTTACAGAGTCACACTGTAGTGAGCCAGCTTCAATGACTTCAGTCAAGATGCTTCTGAGTAAAGTTCTAGCCAAAGGTATGCAAGCCTAGCAGTCTGGGCCCACTGCAGAGCTAGAAGGGATGAGCAGACAAGCTGTGCCTAGCTTCAAACAGCAGAAAATCTTAATCGATAGTAGTATCCTTTGTTTATAGATAAGGAGACTCAGACAGTTGAGTGATAAGCATCATTAGGCTTATCATTGAAAGCAGGATTCAGAACTGTTAGTTTCTTTGTCCAGTTTTCCGGAACCATTTATTGAAGAAACTGTCCTTTATTCAAAGTATGGTCTTGCTGCCTTCATTGAAAATCATATGGCTATAATACATGGATTCACTTCATTTCTTATTTGCTCTGTGTGTGTGTGTGTGTATGTGTGTTGGAGGATTGAACCCAGTGACTCATGAATGAATGCTAAGCAATCCATCTGGGCTCAAGTGACTTTCTTCAGACTCCTGTCACTATGCCTGGTCATAAAAGATAATTTTTGGTGCTTCTTGGATTGTCTGGTTATAAAAGCAGACTTTGCTATGGTCTTGCTCTTCAGCATATAGGAAAGAAGTGTGGGGTGTTTTTCTTCTTGGTTTAAGCATGAGGTTATAAGTTGCCACGAACTTCTCTTGATCTCTTTCTTCTCCGGTTTGTAAGTAATTCTCCTATTATTAGAGTAAATCCTAATTGGAACAAGAACATTTCCTGTGAGCTACTTGTAGTTTCTGGTTTGATTCCTGGAATCCAGTAATTAGATCTATAATACTTTTGTAACCATCATTTTATTCTCATCTTACAGTTGCTACTGAAACTTTCATCAGTTTGAAGTCATCCAGATTAGCCCATGTATTGGTGGTGACCCTGATTATACTAAGTTCAATTTGCTCACATTTCAGTCAGCAATTTTACATTTATAAACTTAGAGATTGTCAAGGGTTCGTGTGTGTGTGTGTGTGTGTGTGGTCTTTTTATATTCACTTTATTCTATCTTTGCCAGGTTTTGGTGTCTGGATTATTCAGCAACTAGTTTCTAAAATGAGTTGAGAAAAACTGCTGTGATTTATGCTTCCAATTTTAATCTTTAGCTTCTAAGATTCCAACTGTAATACGTTTCTAAACCAAGAGAGCAACTACCGACTCCACTGGATTCCTCGTGGCTGGGCCCTGTGTTCCTTCCGCGGAGCAGAGGGGTTGAGTGGATCCCGGGCCGCGGAGAAGTTGCAGCACGTGGGGAGCAATGTGCAGTCTTCTAGGGACAGGCGGAAATTCCCCCCTCCCCCCCCTCCAGCCCGCCCCCCTTCCGCCCCCCCTCCGGCCCGCCGGCCAGCGTCAGGCGTGGAAACCTCCAGGTCTCCAAGTCCCCCGAGGATCCGAGATTCCTTCTCAAGCTGCCGCCCCCGGGGGGGGGGGCGGAGCGCTTGGGGCGGGGCCTGTAGAAGAGGAGCCTGTGGGCGGGGCCTGATGGGATGGGGCGGGGTCTTGGGGGAGGTGCCTGTGAGGCGGGTTCTGGCGGGACGGGGCGGGGCTCAGAGCTCTGGCGCTGGGTAAAGCGCGGGGCCCAGCGAGGAGGGGCGGGGTCCTGAAGGACGGGGTGTGGCCCTGCCGGGTGGGACGTGGCCTCGCAGGATGGGGCGGGGCCCTGCTGGACCGGGCGGGTCCTGGCGGGCTGGGCGCGGGCTGGGGGCGGACGGGGGGGAGGGGTCCGTGGCCAACCCCGGGAGGGACCAGGGACCGTTCCACGTTTGCAGACGCCGCGCATCCGCCGGATTCACGCCGCCCCAGCTCCGCGCGCCCCCGCTCCTCGCCCACCGCCCGATGGCGTCCCGGGCCCGGGGCTGGCGGTCCCTGCCGCCGCCGCCGCTCCTGCTGCTCCTCTGGGTGACCGGACAGGCGGCGCCCGTGGCGGGCCTTGGCGTCGACCCGGAGCTGCAGATCGAGCGGCGCTTCGTGCCCGCCGACTGCCCGCGCGCCGTGCGCAGCGGCGACTTCGTGCGCTACCACTACGTGGGCACATTCCCCGACGACCGCAAGTTCGACTCCAGGTACCGCGCCGCCGGCTCCTCCCGCCGGGCCTCGCCTGCAGGCCCGGTCCCCAGCCCTCGCGGCAGGGACGCCGGGGTCCCCAGACCCCCGCAATGGCCTCTCGGGCCGAGCTCCGTGACATAGTGTGAACTGGCCCCGAGCCGGGGAGAGGCCGCCGCCCGATGTCCCTTCCGGCGGGCTCCCAGCATCTCCGCGGCCGGACGGGTCGGAGACGCTGCGAGTTAGTAGTCCAGGCCTGGACCCGGCCAGCACTGTTTCCTTCGCGTGGAAAGGAGGACGTGAGCCGAGGCTCCGAGCCTCCCGAGGCCGGGAAACTGGAGTAAAGTCGGAGTGGGATGGGACGGGGTCCCTGCGCCCCCTCCCGTGGGTCGTCCCGAAGCCGATGAGACAGAGGTGCATGGTCTAGAGACATTGTGGCCTTTGCACCCAGCCCTGCTTGGGGTTTTAAGTCTCAAGGATCACCCGGCCCCCCATTGTCTTCCAGTGTAGTTTGGGCCACATAGGCCCCAACATCAGGCTACGCTCCCCAAGGTTTCTGTTGCCACCAAGCGCCCCTGACTCATTCCAGCTGTAGGATGTTGGGCCCTGCCTGAGGCTGGGCTGAATGCATCTTGGCTAGAACACTGACTGCCACCTCTCTGAAACTTTGCAGTTTTGCACACAGTACTACGTGGCACATTAGCAAGTGCTAAGAGATGGCCTCCTGCCATGTAGGCGTGAGATGGCACAAGCCTGCAATCCTGGCTACTCTGGAGGCTGAGGTCTGGGGATCTCCAAGGGAAGAAGCCAACCCTGGCAGATAAATCTGAGAGATTCCAGTTAACCAACAAAAAGCTGAAAGTGGAGCTGTGGCTCAAGTGTTCGAACACTAGCTTTGAGTGAGAGAAAGCCAAGCAAGAGCAGGAGGCCCATAGTTCAAACAAAAAATAAAAAGTAGAGATGGCATCCTTACTGTTTACTAAGGGCCTTGTGCATCCGGGCAGGAGTATTACCTCTGAACCCCAGCCCTGGTCAGTGATTCCAGTTACTTACTATTGCTTCAGGATGTTGCTTTAAAAAAAAAAAAACAACTTAATTGAAACATCGTTGTTATAAAATTGACCTACTGAAACGGGTGCAGGTGGCTAACGCCTGTAATCCTAGCTACTCAGGAGGCTGAGATCTGAGGATCATGGTTCAAAGCCAGCCCGGGCAGGAAAGTCCATGAGACTCTTATCTCCAATTAACCACCAGAAAACCGGAAGTGATGCTGTGGCTCAAGTGGTAGAGTGCTGGCCTTGAGCTGAAGAGCTGAGGGACAGCACCCAGGCCCAGAGTTCAAGACCCACAACTGACCAAAAAAACAAAAATAAAATAAAGTAAAATTCACCTACTGAGAATGTACAGTTAGGTGTTTTTTGTTGTTGGTGGTAGTAGTCATGGGGCTTGAACTTGGGCCTGTGCACTGTCCCTGAGCTTTTTCACTCAAGGCTAGCACTACCATTTGAGCCACTTTCTGGCTTTTTGGTGGTTAATTGGAGGCTCATGGACTTTCCTTCCTAGGCTGGCTTTGAACTGCAATACTTAGATCTCAGCCTACTGAATAGCTAGGATTACAGGCATGAGCCACCAGTGCCCAGCAGTTGGGTGTTTTTTTGTTAAAGTATATTCACAGAGCCATGCAAATACCACAACTGTCTACTTCCAGAACATTTCTATCATTCCAAAAAAGAAATTAGGCACTCCTAATTTAGCAGTAGCATACCCTCCCCCTAGCCCGCAACCCCCCCCCCAGCTCCTGTCAACCACAAATCTACTCTATGTGTTGTTGAGTTTAACTGTCGCAGACATTTCATATAAACAAGTCATCCAGTTTGTGGTGTGGGCATCTGACTTTTGTTTCCTCACGTAGCTTTCCAAACTTTATGCATGTTTGGCACCCCCAGTACCTCAGTCTTTCACAGCAGTCAAATAACCTCTGGTTATTTGGCTTGTGTGCATGGTCCTGCATTATAAAGCAAAGTTCATATGGTATTTGGCTTGTGTACATGGTCCTGCATTATAAAGTTCATATGAACATTGTGTGCAGGATTTTGTGCTGGTGCACCTTTCAGTTTCTCTTGGGTTTATATCTAGGACTGGAATCACTGGCTCATTTAACTTTGTGAAGGACTTTGTCTTTGTCCCTCTTCTATGTCTGTTCCCTCCTGCCTAATCCTTCACACGTTGTTCACACTTTCATTTGACTCTGGTCACTTAAGGGTAGTGGTAGTGTCATATATGGCTGTGATCTGCATTTCCCTGACATTGACTGAGAACAGTGTTTCACGGGTTCATGGCCTGTTTGTGTATCTTCTTTCATTTGTACCTTTTGTTATAAAATAGGGGATGCTGGGCATGGTGGTTCACACCTATTCACACCCAGCTGGCTCACAGCCAGCTATGTAGGAGGCAGAAAGTCAGTAGGCTCACAGTTCTGAGGTTAGCCCCAAGCAAAAATGTGAGACCTAACCCTCAAAATAACTGAGGAGAAAAGACTGGGGGTATGGCTCAAGTGTCAGCTTGCCTACCTTTCAAACTAAAGCCCTGGGTTCAAACATCAGTACCACAGTAATAACAATAACATAGGAAAGATTTCTTGCCTGAGCTGATAGAATCAGTAATCCCTGCTAGACCGAGTTGTGCTGTCTGTGCAGCCACGGGTGTGAGGCATTGTAGGACAGTAGAAAGAGCATATTGGAGCTGCCTCATCCATGAGACATTCATGTGGTCTGCCCTCAGAGACTAGTACTAATCCTGTGTGTCCCCTCCCTCAACCCTGCCATTTATGGCCAAAGCAGTTACAAATCAGTCCAATAAGAAGAGTGCATATATTCCAACTCACATAGAGTTTATGACCAGGTTCAACCTGTGCCTTCACCTGTATTCATTCCTTTAATCTCAACAGAATCCAGCTCAGGACATTGAGAAAGGTATCTTATTGCATGTGAAGAGTCTTAGAGGAGTCAACCACAGAACCTCACTCCTATAATCCTAACTCAGGAGATTGAGATTTAAGGACCGTTTGTTTGAAGTCAGCCTTGACAGAAAAGTCTGTAAGACTCTTATTTTATCTCCAGTTAAGTAGTAAAAAGCCAGAAGTGGAGCTGTGGCTCAAGTGGTAGAGCCTTGGGCAGGGGGGAAAAAAAGCTAAGTAAAGGCATGAGACCCTGAGTTGAAGTCTTAGTATGGCCTATGCATGCACACCTACACATATGCACACATACATGCACATACAGCTGAGAAAGCCTGGATGGCTTTTCCAAGATACCTGAGTACTCGGTGGTCCTGTGTAACTTTTAACCTGGCCAGTTGCTTATGACCATAGTCTATGGTCTACCCTTAACTACAGTGGGCAGAAAGGCAGGCAGCTAGGAAAATAGGGAGAAGGCTTGACTCCAAGTTGTTTGTGTGGAAGGCAGCCTGGGCTGAGGCAAAAGACACAAAGGAGGCTAGAATTTACCAAGGAGGATGGAGGATGAGGGCTGGGAAGGGTGTGTGGATGGAGGGCAGGGCTGGCAGGGGGTGTAAAGGGAAGGTGGATTAGAGGAAGGAATGCTGGTCAGACAATGAAAATGTGGATAGTGGTGGGGAAAGAAGGGAGGGGAAACAAGAAGGTGGAGCTAGCCTCTTTTTTTTTTTTTTTAATGGCTGGGTGCTGGTGACTCACACCCCTAATCCCAGCTACTCCAGGAGGCTGAGATTAATCAATTCTAAGTTTTGTTTTTTTTTTTTTGGTCCCGTTGTGGGGCCTGAACTCTGGGCCTGGGTGCTGTCCCTCAGCTCTTCAGCTCAAGGCTAGCGCTCTACCACTTGAGCCACAGCGCCACTTCCGGCTTTTTACTTTTTGCTTATGTGGTGCTGAGGAATCAAACCCAGGGCCTCGAGCATGCAAGGCAAGCGCTCTACCACTGAGCCACCTTCCCAGCCCAATTCTAAGTTTTCTTGTAGATTCTGCTGAGCTTTCTATATATGATTCCATCTGAAGCAGATGCACTTCTTCCTTTCCAGTGTGTAGGCTTTGCATCTCTTTTTTAATTAGCATACATTAATTACATGAGTGGTTTCATCATGACATTCATTTCTACACAGGCATACAGCGAATCCCCATCAACCTCACTGCCTTTAGTCCTCCCTCCACCCAGAACATTTCAACAGGTTCACTCTTCATTTTCCTACATGCAAACAAAACTACTTTGGTCTGCCTGCAGCCTCTCTACTCCATTGTTGTATTCCTTTTTCTTGATCCATCCTTTACTCAGGACATCCCAGACCAGAAATGGCACAGGGGGCTTCACTGGCTAGTGGCTGATCAGAAACAGTTCAGCTTCTCACTGTGAGAACAGTGTCTGTAGGTGTAGCCCTTTGTGAAGCTTTTCTGGACCAGCCTGTGGGGTGTGGCCTGCAGGGCTGGCCTTCTGCAGAAGGTAAAAAGGAACTGGACACCGGGACCAGCTGCCTGCGCCCTCATTCTAGATGGCAGGAGTGATTTTCATGAGTGCTGGGCTGCCAGCTGCCCACTGGTCAGCAGAAATGCTCTGGAGATAACTGCTTTTCCAGATGGTCAGACTTGAGACAGTCAATAAGACTGACCTCCATGGTTAGATGTTGAGTGCCCCCCCTTTTTTTTTCTTTTCAGTCCTGGGCTTGGACTCAGGGCCTGGGCACTATCCTTCAGCTCCTTTTGCTCAAGGCTAGTGCTCTGCCATGAACCACAGCGTCACTTCTGGCTTTTTCTGCTTATGTGGGACTGAAGAATTGAACCCAGGGCTTCATGCATGCTAAGCAAGCACTCTACCACTAAGCTACATTCCCAGCCCATGAGTGCCTCTTTTGGAAAGGTTCTTGTTTGAGGTTCTCAGGCCATCATGGATGAACTAATTAGGAGTGAGGCCTCTGCAGGTTTTTATTCATCATGGAGAAGCTCTATGCCAGGTGCCTAGGAGTTGGACCATCCTGGGATTTAGCAGTATTTTTCCCACTTGGATAACTGACTTTGGAGAAGTTTTTAACTTTAGGTCCCTATCAGAGCACCCACTTCTCAGTGCTGCATGAAGAGTAAATGAGGTAGCAGGAGAGAAGAGCATTCTTTGCCACTGTGCCTGTAAATACTATTAATTATTTAAAACCTCCACTAAGTTTGGGAATTATATTCAGTTCTATGGGGGCATGGGGGGTGGCGGGGAGAAGAGGTTCATGCATGTGTGCCAATCCTGGGGCTTGAACTCAGGGTCTGGGTGCTGTCCCTGAGCTTTTTTGCTCAAGGCTGTCACTCTTCACTTGAGTCACAGCTCCAGTTCTGGCTTTTTGGAGATTAGAGTCTCACAGACTTTCCTGTCTGGGATGGCTTAGAACTGCGATGCTCAGATCTCAGCTTCCCAAGTAGCTAGGATTACAGGTATGAAAATCAGAGCCTGGCTGACATGTTTTTGTTTCTGTGTGGTGCTAGAGATTGAACCCAGGTCTTGTGCTCACACAGTTCTTTACCAGCTCTGAAAACTGTTCTTGGAGTCACCTTCTGCCTGTGTGTTACTGTGTGCCGTATTAAGTACCCCTGGATCTGTGGAGTCTGGTTCTTTATCATAATCCTGCTGGTTGGTGATGTTTGCAGTGCAGTGTGCTACAAACCAAGTGTAATCCAAGCTGGCCTTCCCAGGTAGCTGGGAGGCCCTGGGGGAGGGGGTACAGGTACAGATCTAACTTGACCATTGAGCTTACCAGAGCTTTGTCCTCTGGCTTGGCCTGAACTGGAAATCCTGCCTTCTGCTTACTGACCCTGAAGAAGGGAAGGAAGGTTATCCAGATCTGCAGAACAGGGCAGTGGAAAAGATGGTGGATCCAGGAAGCTGTCCTCACTTGCCAAGGGTTGGAGGATTAGGGTGGAGTGACGTAGATTCACACTTGTCCCAACTGTTCAGTGGGAAAAATGCAAAGAAGAAAAACAATTGGCAGTGAAAGGCAGCAGGTCCCAATGGCCTGAGTACCAGCAGCTTTGAACTTTGCTTACACAAGTAGTTACAGGGTCATTCTGAATCTGAAGAGAGAATTAAAGAGAAGACATAGCCAGTCACCTGGAATCTACTGCCTATAGATTAACACTGACAAAATTTTCATTTACTGCCTTGTAGATTTTCCTGTGTCAATTATACAGCTATCTATCTGTCTGTCTGTCTCTCATATGTATCTATATTAGCTATATTTCTGTATCATCTCTCTACCTATTTACCCACATATCTATTGTTTTTGTCTATTACCTTTTAACCTATAATTAAATACCTGTTATCTATGTCACTATCTATAATTAGTGACTATTACTATCTATAAATAAATGGGATTAAATCTAATCCATATATAGGATTAAATATATATATATATATATAATTACATATACTGTGGCTCTATAACTTGTATTTATCTTATTGAATATGTCCTTCCAGTCAATAAGTAGAAATCTATGTTATAAGATGGTCACCAAGCCATCTTTATTATTATTATTATTTTTTTTTTGGTTGGTTGTAGGCCTGAACTCTGGTTGTAGGCCTGGGTGCTGTCTCTTGGCTCTTTAGCTCAAGGCTAGCACTTTACCATTGAGCCACAGCACCACTTCTGGCTTTTTCTGCTTATGTGGTGCTGAGGAATCAAACCCAGGGCCTCATGCATGCAAGGCAAGCATTCTACCACGGAGCCACCTTCCCAGCCAGCCATCTTTATTATAGGTCCTCCCTTATATGCAGTCAGAGTCATGCCCTTAAACTTCTTCTGTTCATTATTGTAAATCAAGCTCTGAGTGGGTTTTTTTAAATTCATTTTTCTTTTGTGTTTTCTCTTTAAAATTTTGCAGTCTCTGCATTATAGTTTTGGCAACTCAGGGCCTTATACTTGCTAGGTAGATGGTTCACTACTTCAGCTACACCCAGCCTTTTTGCTCTATCTTTTTTATATAAGGCCTGGTGTTTCTGCCCAGGGCCAGCGTAGATCTTGACTTTCCTCCCTCTGGGCTTCAGTAGATGGAATGAGAGAGCCACCATATCCAGCTTTTTTTCTTTTCCCATCCTGGCCTCTAACTGCAAACTTCTCAATCTGTCTCTTGAGAAGCAAGGATTCCAGGGGTGAACACTAAGCCTGGCCTGCATGAGTGCACTATATAGTTATTGTCTCATACAGGATCTGAAACCACCTCTCTCTGCCAGTTCATAAAGTAGTATTTGTTGGCAAAGTCTTTGTCTTCGGCTTCTTTCATAACTCCCAAAACACCCAGCACAGTGTCAAAGGGCAAGCCTTCACTTGTTGAATTTGACATTGCAAGTGAGCACAGGCCACAATCAAACTCCTGCCATTTATCTTCGGCCCTAGGCCAAAATCCATCAGCCTTCAATACAATGAGTGGTTTCAAGATGTACTTATACTGATTATCTGCGATAATTGTGGTAGTGACCCAACCCCATGCTTGCAGAAATTTTCTTGTTGGAATTTATGCTTTTCTTTTTCTCTCTCTTCCTTCTGGTGGTCAGCTATGACAGAGACTCTACATTCAACGTGTTTGTGGGGAAAGGACAGCTGATTGCAGGGATGGACCAGGCTCTGGTTGGGATGTGTGTAAATGAGAGGCGCTTCGTGAAGATCCCCCCAAAGCTTGCCTACGGAAGCGAGGGCGTTTGTGAGTTCTGTCATTTTGTACTTACTTATTTATTTTCTTGTTTCCATTTCCTGGAGTTCATTCTGGTAAATACGATCAGGGGGGTACTTGTAAACACACCTGAGAAGCAACCATACAATCTATAGAGACTGTGGCTGACCAGACTGGAGAGTTTTGGAGGCTTTTTTTTTTTTTTTTGCCAGTCCTGGAGCTTGAACTCAGGGCCTGGGCACTGTCCCTGAGCCTCTCTGTGCTCAAGGCTAACATTCTACCACTTGAGCCACAGTGCCACTTCCAGCTGTTTCTGTTTATGTGGTACTGAGGAATTGAACCCAAGGCTTCATGCATGCTAGGCAAGCACTGTACCACTAAGCCACATTCCCAGCCCTTGGAGACTTTAAGAGGGGAAAATAAAAAGCAGTGAAGACAGACACAACTGATATTACTGTTTTAGATTTCATCTCTTCTAGAAATGAAAGGTGTCATTGACCTGGTCATGCCCAGTGGAATCTTTTTTTTTCCCCCCCAGTTGTGGGGCTTGAACTCTGGGCAGGGGTGCTGTTCCTCAGCTCTTCAGCTCAAGGCGAGTTCTCTACCACTTGAGCCACAGTGCCACTTCTGGTTTTCTGGTGGTTTATTGGAGATAAGAGTCTCATAGACCTGGGTGCCAGTGGCTCATGCCTGTAATCCTAGCTACTCAGGAGGCTGAGATCTGAGGATCACGGTTCAAAGCCAGCCTAGGCAGGAAAGTCTGTGAGACTCTTATCTCTGATAAACCACTCAGAAAACCGGAAGTGGCACTGTGGCTCAAGTGATAGACTGCTAGCCTTGAGATGAAGAGCTCAGGGACAGTGCCCAGGCCCAGAGTTCAAGCCCTATGACTGACAAAAAAAAAAAAGTCTCATGGACTTTACTGCCTGGACTGGCTTTGAACCTCAGTCCTCAAATCTCAGCCTCCTGAGTAGCTAGGATTACAGGCCTGAGCCACCAGTGCTTGGCTCCCACTGGTGTCTTTGATGAGAGAAAATGTGTTTTTTCTTTTTAGTTTCATTTGGAGGGAAGATGGGGACCCAGCTTGAACCCTTTGGGTTTCTATTCCTATTATCAGTGTCCTAGGTATATATTTGTGTGGCCTGAAAAGCAGTAGTTTCTAAGTGTGAGCTCTCTTTCATTTCTAGCTGGTGTGATTCCCCCAAACTCTGTGCTTCATTTCGATGTACTTCTGATAGACATTTGGAATTCTGAAGACCAGGTGCAGATTCACACTTATTTCAAGCCCCCCACGTGCTCTCGGACTATCCAGGTGTCAGATTTTGTTAGGTACCACTATAATGGGACGTTCTTGGATGGGACACTGTTTGACTCCAGGTAAGCCCTTCTGTTCGTAGCAGTGACTGTGAAATGCCCCCTGTGTCTCTTGGTTTTGTCTATATGCTATGCCCATGAGGAAGCCAGAAACAGGACCCTTCTGAACTTTCACCAGTATTAAACTACTCTTTGTAATACTTGTGGGTAGTGTCTTATGCTCATGGTGCCAGAATCAAGGCTTAGTGCATATTAGAAAACTCTCAAGTATTTCTTACCTAATTCAACAGTATTTTGAGACTTTATCATTAAGCAAAGAGCCTTATTCCTTAGTAGACTCATGTGTTTTGGTTCATTTTTATATTTTTCCCATGGAGGGAGAACAGGCAGAAATAAAGCTATAGTAGCCACAAATAAAGCTATATATAGGCTAAGCTTTAGACCAGATTTTCTGCCATGACAGTGTGCTTGACTAGTGGAATAAGCTGGTCTATGGTAGTCAGTCGCTGATAGAAATCCGAGCCTTTCCTTTCTTCTTAAACTGGATGCCTTGTTGTGTTTGGGAGCAGCAGTCTCCAGAGATGGATGTGGGCTTGTTTACCTGAGATTTGGGTAACAAAATTCTCCCTGAAGGACAAACTGGAAACCTACACCGTGGAACTCTTTCCCTTTCTCATTGGCTTTCAGTCACAATCGCATGAGAACCTACGACACATATGTGGGCATTGGCTGGCTGATTCCTGGCATGGATACAGGGCTGCTGGGGATGTGTGTGGGGGAAAAGCGAATCATCACCATTCCTCCTTTCCTGGCCTATGGAGAACACGGGGATGGTGAGTCCTCCTCCTCCTCAGGGATTAAGACTGTTGCGATCCTATGGACCCTACTGCTGTGCAATCCAGTTGTGATCCTAGGGGACCCAGTGCTGTCCTATCCTGTCGTGACTCCATGGGACCCACTGCTTTCCAATCCAGTCTTTATCTTGTGGGACCCACTGCTGTCCAATATGGCAGCCACTTGATACAGTCAAGTGACAATTTGCCCTTGCTGGGCAAGTGCCAGGTGGCTTCTTAAAAGAAGTATGGGCAGAGTACCCTGCTAATAGAGAAATCAAGTTTGGAAATGATTATCATAGATATATCCCCATTCTCCCTTCTTTGGGGTCTAAGTTCTTTGCGCTGCTATTCTTCATTGGTGGAAGTTCTTTTTACCTGGTCTCAGACCCTTTGCATTTTCATCCACATAACAAACAAGATGCTCAGTCTCACGGGAAGACTACTTTTTGTCTTAAATAAATACTTAATAGCTTAAATATTTAAAATAAGTAATTTATATTTGACTATTGCACAAGTATTCAAGGAAATCGTTGAACGACTGAATAATCTTGGGAAATACATATGTGTGTATTTGTATATATGTATATACATATATATGTGCTAATGCTAAAAAAATGCAAACTCTGGGGGGTTGTTTTGGAGATGTTCTCCTAGGAACTGAGGGAGAGCTTAGTGGTAGATTGCTCACCTAGCCTGCATGAGACCCTGGGTTCTGTCCTTGCACCACAAAAGATAAAAATGAAAACCTTTGTTCCTCTTTGCGACCCAAAGTACAAAGGGTTAACCTTCTCTGCCACACATCTGCTCCAGGAATGGGACACACCGTGTGTTCCAGAGGCTGGCACCGATCTGCTCCAGGGATGGGGCACACCGTGTGTTCCAGAGGCTGGCACAGATCTGCTCCAGGGATGGGGCACACTGTGTCTTCCAGAGGCTGGGTCAGTTGCCTGCTTTCATGTCACTGTGCTTCGGGGGGAGAGAGAGATACCTGGGCTGGATGCTACTGCCACCCAGGATGCTACTGCCCTCTTTGTACACTGTAACACGTGCTGAGGGCTTCCTGCACACTGGCTGGTGGGGATCTTTACAGAAAGCTTGTGCCCTGCCTGCCATACCCAAAGCATTGCCCTTTGGCTTTGCCCTTTGCAGAAACTTCCTCTCCAGATAATTTTAAATATGGGCTCTGCTGATGCTTTTCCAGCCACAGCTGAGGGGACCAAGCTCTCAGGATTCCCAGCTGTGAAATGAGATTTGAAGTAGACACTTTATGGGCCCAGCGCGCTTCCACTGGGCTACTCTGCTACCATTGAAGTAGACACTTTAGACAGAGAAGTTTAGCCATATGATGTCATAATTGCTAAGTTTTCCCCATTTTCCTTCACTATGCTGTGCTTTACCTATGATTAACTTCATATGACAAGGAAAAAATTTTTTTTTTATTAATACCTCTGGTGTGTGCGCGTGTGCACACCAGTGCTGGGGCTTGAACTCAGGGCCTTGCTTGGCTTTTTTATTCAAGGTTAGCACTAAGCTCCTTGAGCCACACCTCCACTTCTTGACTTTTGCTGGTTAATGGTGATAAAAGTCTCTCAGATGTATCTGCCTTGGTGGCTTTGAACCATGATTTCCCGATCTCAGGCTCCTGTGCAGCTAAGATTATAGATGAAGGCCACTAATACCACTTAACATTATTTTTTAAAAATCCTTAGTATTTTTTTTCTTTTTTTTTCCAGTCCTGGGGATTGAACTGAGGGCCTGGACACTGTCTCTGAGCTGCTTTTGCTTAAGGCTAGCACTCTACCACTTGAGCCACAGTGCCACTTCCAGCCTTTTCTGTTTATCTGGTACTGTAGAATGGAACCCAGGGCTTCATGCATACTAAACAAGCACTTTGTCACTAAGCCATATTCCCAGCCAATCCCTAGTATTTTCGATCTGGACTTGGTTAAATCCCCCAAATAGGGAGCCCAGAGCAATGCTGGAAGGGGTGATGGTGTTCAATGAACGTCCTGTGTACCTCCAGGCTCATCCCAGAGAAGCTATACCATGCAGGAGGAAGATAGAATCACTATTTTGGATTGTGGGTGCCATATTTTCCCCTTTGTTATCTAGCCTTGGTTTTGTTTGTATCTTGCTGTGGATAAAGCACTGAATTTTCCATTTTGTCTTTCAAACACCTTGGCTGTGATCATGAAGCCTTTAGGGACTGTGGAGAAGTGAGGAGAGGCACGGAGGGTTGAGGAAGTAGAGTAGATGTGCACCACCATGCACTACACAAGTAGGCATGGAAGACTTCCCAGAGACACATTGTACAGTTAATTCATCCAACTTCAAGCCTGGCTCTCAGTGGGTGTGTGAAGCCCTATGAGTGGGGTTTCTGCACAACCAGTGCAACTTTAGGGCCTGTGCTTTTCATCTGTCCACACACAGAACCCTGAGGCCTTTGTGAGTGCGGGTGCAAGCAGTGCAGAGCCACTCAGCATGGGCACAGGCAATGGGGTCATACTGCACATGGGTGAGCATGGTGAGACACCATAGTCAGACCCAAGGATCCCCAGGACTTGGAATCCCCCTTGCTCTTGGCCGGACAAGGTCAGGGGCCCAGCACTAGGGTTGTTGTGCGGTGGTGGCCCAGCCCCAGCCTGGTGCAAACGTCTCTCTTCCTCTGTTGGGTAGGGAAGGACGTCCCTGGACAGGCGTCCCTGGTGTTCGACGTGGTCCTGCTGGACCTCCACAACCCTAAGGATGGCATCACAGTGGAGAACACAGAGGTGCCCGCGGACTGTGCGCGGCGCAGCCAGAGTGGAGACTTCCTCAGGTACCACTACAACGGCTCCCTGCTTGATGGCACCGTCTTTGACTCCAGGTGAGGAAGCAGCCCCAAATCTCTGGGCCAGGGCCACTGTGAGGGGGGGCCAGTGTCCTCATCCTCCAACAGACTCCAAGCCTTTGCTTCCCATAAAAGCTGGAAGTCTTGCCAGTCCCTCTTGGTATTAGACTTCCAGTTTATGTGCTCATCATCCAAGAGCCTTGCAGAATTTTCTGTGGTAAGGTTTCGTTTGAACCAGGGGCAGTGGCTTACATCTGTAATCCTAGCTACTAGGAGGCTGAGATCTGAGGATCCTGGTTAGAAGCCAACCTAGCCCATGAGACTGTCACCTCTAATTAGTCACCAAAAAGCCAGAAGTGATGGTATGGCTCAAGTGGTAGAGTAGCTAGCCTTGAGCAAAACAACTCAGGGGCAGGGCCCAAGCCCTGAGTTTAAGGTCCATGACAAAATGACAAATGGCACATACATGAAAATGATTTCATTTGAATAATCCACTCTTTATTCCTAACAGCTCTTCTTTCATTTGAGATTTTTGTTTTGAAAGAGCATCAGTCATGTGATTCCAAATAAAAACAAAATATGAGGTCATGGGGAGGGGAAGAGCAGACAGATGGAGAGAGGAAAGGTGGATGAAAATAGTTTAATATTCAATGTATATATGTAAAAATGGAACCAGGTCATGTGAGGGATGGGTGGAGTTGGGAGAGTGGGGAGAATGTTGAATTGATCAAGATGCAATGTATATAGCCTGGTGCCAGTGGCTCACGCCTGTAATCCTAGCTACTCAGGAAGCTGAGATCTGAGGATTGTGGTTCAAAGCTGGCCCTGGCAGGAAAGTCTGAGATTCATCTCCAATTAACCACCAGAAAACCGGAAGTAGTGCTGTGGCTCAAGTGGTAGAGTGCTTGCCTTGAGCTAAAGAGCTAAGGGACAGCACCCAGGCCCAGAATTTAAGCCCCATGACTGACAAAAAAAAAAACGAAAAAAGATTCAGTGTACTCACAAACTGATCTGGTGAACTGAAACACCTTTCTATAGCTACTTAAAGATAATATATACGAAATCAGTATGCTATATGCCCACCCCATCTGGTTACCATTTTATTAACAATCCTCTTTAGTAGTTTCTGATTTGTTCAGTCATTTCTATATGGCATACAGAATGTCATATATGTATAATATGTTATAAAATATTTTCTCTGTTATATAATAAATAAAATTGTGTAATAACTTTTTTTTTTTGGTCAGTCGAGGGGTTTGAACTCTGGGCCTGGGTGCTGTCCCTGCGCTCTTCAGCTCAAGGCGAGTGCTCTACCACTTGAGCCAGTGCGCCACTTCCAGTTTTCTAGTGGTTTACTGGAGATAAGAGTCTCTCAGACTTTCCTGCGCAGGCTGGCTTTGAACCATGATCCTCACATCCTCAGCCTCCTGAGTAGCTAGGATTATAGGCATGAGCCACTGGTGCCCAGCTGTAATAACGTTTTGTTAGCTCTTTATCATCCTCACCCCAAAGCACCCAACACTTAAAAACCTCTTAAAAAAACTTGCCCTGTGGGCAGAGAGCCTTTTCGGTTGAAATCTTTAATCTGGATCTTGGTGGTGGAGTCTGAACTCTGGGTCTGGGCGCTATCCCTCAGCTCTTCATCTCAAGGCTAGCGCTCTACCACTTGAGCCACTGCACCACTTCCAGCTTTTTCTGCTTACATGGTGCTGAGGAATTGAACCCAGGGCCTCATGCATGCAAGGTAAGCACTCTACCACTGAGCCACCTTCCCAGCCCCTAATTTGGATTTTATTATCTTCAGTTGTACAAAGAGGTTAACATTCAACCAATGTGTTTATAAGTATAATGCATGTTGGTTGACAATCACCCTTTTCATCATTCTCCCCTCTCCCTTCCAACATCTAGAAATCTTGGTGTTAACAATTTTTTTTTTTTTTGGTCGGTCATGGGGCTTGAACTCTGGGCTTAGGCGCTGTCCCTGTGCTCCTCAGCTCAAGGTGAGTGCTCTATTGCTTGAGCCACAGCACCACTTCCAGTTTTCTAGTGGTTTATTGGAGATAAGAGTCTCATGGTCTTTCCTGCCTGGGCTGGCTTTGAACCATGATCCTCAGATCTCAGCCTCCTGAGTAGCTAGGATTACAGGCGTGAGCCACAGACACCCGGTGGCAGTGTTAATCAATTTTTATGATGGAGAACCTCACTTGAGTTGACTGGCTGGGTTTTCCAGAACCTGTCACTTTCCCTCACTGGTTGAGGAGTGACTTCTATGGCAAATTTAGTTCCTCTATGGATTTGGAGGGTCTTCATCTAGGATTGTTTCTACTCTTGGGAGGAGGTTCTTTTCCCTAGGCCCCTTGGGAAGGAGTGCTCTGCAGTCTCTGGAGTTAAATTGTCCTCAGACTTGTGCTACTCTCCTGGAATCACTGTTCATACCTGCCCTGGGGGGTGTGGTTCAATGGTAGAGCGTTTGCCTAGGATGTGTGAGGCCCTGGGTTCAATTCCCAACCCTACACACTGGCTCACATGCACATACAGATGATCCATATCTCCCATACTCAGATATTCTTCTCCAGAGGCTGGAGACACTGCCCTGTGATCTCTTAGTTTCCACTGCGACCTACCCTTGGTTTTTCATTAAGTCAGCACTGGCTCCCTGTGGCTCCCTCTCTCAGATTACAGTGCATTTATGACCGACTCAACCAAAGCCGAGGTCTGCTCCTGTCATATTCTAGGAAGTACATGTCCCCACTGTGGGTTTTACCTGTTCTGGGGCCTGCAGGCCTCTGTGGTGCTGATGGTTGACATGTGTGTGATTGCCTGGTTGTTTCCATTCTTCTCTTGTAGCTACTCGAGGAACCGCACCTTCGACACGTACATCGGGCAGGGCTATGTGATTCCTGGGATGGATGAAGGCTTGCTGGGCGTCTGCATTGGGGAGAGGAGAAGGATCGTGGTCCCCCCTCACCTGGCCTATGGAGAGGAGGGCAGAGGTGCGTATCACCTGCCTTTCTGTTTACTGGCTGCTCCCACCTTGCTGGGCTTCGAGAGGCAAACCATGGGTTGACATCCAACTTAAACCTTGACTGCCCATGTAGATTTAGTTCTAGAATGGTCTGTGGTATTTTCTGTTCTCCTAGCTCCATTTTCTTTTCCTTCTGAAAATATTTAAGCCTATGCCAAAGTTGTAAGATCTGCATTGTGAATTCTGTTCATGTTCATTGACTGTTCATGTTTTTGCTCTGTTTTCTCTCCTTTCAGCTTTATTTATCTTGTTTACTTGAACGGTGTGAAAGTACAAAATCCTTATTTAGGTGAAAGGGCTGGTGCCTGCCTGGGTAGGGCTCAAGTTCTGGTCTTCAGTTTTGCTGTCCAGTTATTCCATCTGCCTGTCTGTCAAGGCTTCTTTGAGTTCTTTATGACATGGTGGTGGGGATTCTCAGAGAATCAGATGGGCAGAGCTCCTGCTCATGCATGCTTGCATCCTCCCCCCACACCCACTGGATGCCCTCTGAGCCTCAGAGTCAGCCAGGTACCTGGGAGGTGACACACAGCCAGCCTGATGCTAAGTACTGTAGTCATCACTGGAGTAGGTGGGCATCAGCCTCTGGGTTGATGTTTGTGCTGCAGTGCTCAGTGCAGAAGCTGAGCTAGTCAAATTCAGTGTCAGCCTCACTGTATCCCTAACTCTGTGAAAGGCTACCACTCACTACAGACCTACAGAGGTGGAACTGGGATTTGAACTCAGGGCTTCCCACTTACTGGGTAAGTGGTCTGGTAGACCATTGGAACCTCACCCTCAGCCATCTGTGGTCAATTCAACTGGGGCAAACAGGCTAGAGTCCTGCATTTGAGTCCAAAGTATGCTAATTGGCCTGGTTCCTCTGGACAGATCTATGCCTCCATTTCCTTGTCTTCAGAATGAAGATTCAGTTCTTCTAATGGCCACAGCTCCATTCTGGTGTGCCCTTGCCTCTCACTTCTGGGTCCTGTATTCCTCACAGGAGGCAGGCAGGACACACTGGGGGGTGCTGGGTGCTGTGGCCCACAGAGCTTGTTCACTAAGTCTCTGTGTCTGTCCTCAGGGAACATTCCAGGCTCGGCTGTGCTGGTGTTCGACATTCATGTGATCGATTTCCACAACCCCTCGGACTCCATCAACATCACCTCCCACTACAAGCCCCCTGACTGCTCAGTGCGGAGCAAGAAGGGTGACTACCTCAAGTACCACTACAATGCCTCCCTTCTGGATGGGACTCTGCTGGACTCCACGTGAGTATCCCTTGGGGGTGGGAAGTCCTTCAAGTTCTGCTTCCTCAGCCTTCACCGTGCTGGGGTTAAAGGCATACACAGCCATGTCTGGCCTACCAGACTAACTCTTACCCTGTAGAATTGTTTTTCTATAAAGGCAGATCTTGTGCAGCTGTGTTTAAAACTGGCTCTTGGATAAACACCAGAGTCTCATTGTCAGCTAGCTCTGCTTCTGATGCATGTGTGCGTGTTTGTGAATCTGTTTCCCAAGGCTGCCCTATATGGTGAAGCAAGTTGGATGCACTTCTTCTGGCCACTTTCTGCCTTGGGTTAAATGTCCTGCTTTTTCTCAACACTGTCCCTTCATTTCTTGATCAAGTGCTTCATATTCCAAAGTTCATATTCCCACCAGGGCTCCTTACATGGGAAAAGGGGAGTATGGGCAGGAACTGAACAAAGGCATTCCTTCTGGAAGTCAAGGATACGTTTGCCTGTGCAAGAGGAGCCCACTTCCTGCCTTGATTGCACTTGTGCAATGGGAACCTTGTCTCTGAGTCCCCCTCTTCCTGGGGGCTCCATCCTGGCACAGAGCTCATCCTCTCTGCATGGCACTTGTCTCTCTGGAAGCTCCTCAGGGTAGCATGGGTTGGGGTGGGAGAGATTGTGCCAATCTGTGGCTCCCTCCAGTATCCTGGGGATAGATAAGAGTTGGGTATCTTGAGAGGATCCTCAAGGACCCACGTGTTCCTCTCCTAAGCACCCTTTCCGGTCCCAGTGGCTGGCCAATCTAACCTATGTCTCTTGTCTTTCAGGTGGAGTTTAGGCAGGACTTACAACATTGTGCTGGGGTCCGGTCAGGTGGTCCTGGGGATGGACATGGGCCTCCGGGAAATGTGTGTGGGTGAGAAGCGGACTGTGATCATCCCGCCACACCTGGGCTATGGGGAGGCTGGCGTGGGTGAGTGACTCTGCTTGGGGTACAGGCTGTACTTTTGGGGGACTAGAGCTAGAACTGCCATATGCCTCTTCCACTTAAGACTCCAAGGGCTATGCTTTTTTTTTTTTTTTTCCGTTGGTGCTGGTCCTGGGGTTGAACTCAGGGCCTGGGCACTGGCCTTGATCTTCTTTTGCTCAAGGGTAGTGCTCTATCATTTGAGCCACAAGGCTTTTTTTTTGGGGGGGGTTACTTAATCAGAGATAAGAGTCTCACGAGACTTTCTTGCCCAAGCTGCCTTTGAACCATGGTTCTTAAATCTCAGCCTCCTGAGTAGTTATGCTTTCTGGTTTGAAGTTGTTGAAAGAGCCTGTGAACTTGGTGCTCCTGAGCTTTTGTAAGAAGAGTAGCAGGGAAGCGAGCTGGGTGTGGGTATGGGTGGCAAGGCACTGCTGCCCTTTTCCATAGGCAGAGGCCTCCTCCCTCTGGCCTCTAGCCTGGACAGGTGGATGCCGAAGGTCAGGACTCCTCACCACAAGTCAGCCAGGAAAGGTTGGCAGAGTTAATTAAGACTGGTTCCGGGAAAAGTGACTTTTCTGCATCTTTGCAGGGTTATGCCCTGATGCACTTCCCTACAGATCCCAGAACACTTCTAGCTGGGATCATCACTACAGTGGAAAGTGTCAGCTATTTTTGTGAGTCTTGTGCTTGTAAGGCAAGTGCTTTACCACTAAGCCATATCCCTGTCTTTTTGCACAGTTATTTTCCGGATAGGGTCTTGCTGATTTTTGGCCAGAGCTGGCCTCAGACCACCATCAGTGTTATCTGTAGCTGTCCACAGCTGGGATGACAGGCACAAGCCCTTATGTCTGACTTGTTGGTTGAGATGGAGTCTTGATAACTTTTTTTGGCCAGGGCTGATGATGAACCTCAATCCTCCCAATCTGTTTCTATGGTAGCTGGGATTACAGGTGGAGCCATTGCAGATGACTACATTTATTTCGTGTTGCATATAAAATCGAAACAAGTTGCATGAAACAACACCTATCTTTTCTAAATGCCATTCTCAGGATCTAGTTCATTTTGTTCCTTTACCTGCAAAAGCAAGTAGTGGGAGCAGTGGGTGGAAGGATCTGCTGGGTGCAAACCCATGCCTCTTGTCTCTCCCTGAGCAGATGGAGAGGTGCCAGGCAGTGCTGTCTTGGTGTTTGACATTGAGCTGCTGGAGTTGGTGGCTGGCCTGCCTGAGGGGTACATGTTCGTGTGGAATGGGGAGGTGTCTCCCAACCTCTTTGAGGAGATTGACAAGGATGGAGATGGAGAAGTCCTCCTGGAAGAGGTGAGCAGCCTGATGGGCGGGTGTGCCCAGGGCTTTTATCAGTGCCAGTGACTCAGCTCGGCTGAGATAGGGAGCTGGGAGTGCAGGAGGGACCCCAGGCCTCTCCATGGAGCTGGGCGACTTACTGCGCTGACAAGCTGGAGTCACAGCTCCCTGGCTTTTCCTCTGTGCATTCTTGTGCAGGCTCCAGCCATTCCTTCAGCATCAGTTTTCCTCCAGCTCCTGTCTTGTTTTTGTGACAGTGTCTCACTTTGAACCAGAGACCCTCCTGCCTCAGCCTCCTGGATTACAGGTGTTCAACACACCTGGCTCAACTTTTTAAGAGACAGGGTCTCACTATACTTCCCAGGCTGGTCATAGAACCTCTAGGCTGCTGGGACTACAGGAATATGCTGCTGCCCCCAGCTTTCTATTCTTTTTTCTTTCTTTTTTTTTTTTTTGGCTTTGGGGCTTGAACTGAGGGCCTAGATACTATCCCTAAGCTTTCCTGCTCAAGACCAGTGCTCTGCCACTTTAAGCCACAGCTCTACTTCCAGTTTTCTGGTAGTTAATTGGAGATAAGTGTCTCATGGACTTTCCTAAGCTGGCTTTGAATTGTGATCCTTAGCCCTCACCCTCCTGAGTAGCTAGATTATAGGTGTGAGCCACCAGCACCTGGCTTTCCATCCTTTCCTAAGCCCCCTTCTGGTGAACTTTTGTCCTGCGATGCTGCTGTTGTTTCGTTTCTCAGACCCCCTTGCCACCATGTCCAGCGCCTTCTGAGCCCGAGGTTGAGATCGGTCCTCGATCCTCTCTCTTTTCTTTTCTTTTTTTTTGTCGGTCGTGGGGCTTGAACTCTGGGCCTGGGCGCTGTCCCTCAGCTCTTCAGCTCAAGGCGAGCGCTCTACCACTTGAGCTACAGCGCCACTTCCGGTTTTCTGGTGGTTTATTGGAGATAGGAGTCTCAAGGTCTCTCCTGCCCGGGCTGGCTTTGAATGAACTGCGATCCTCAGATCTCAGCCTCCTGAGTAGCTAGGATTACAGGCGTGAGCCACCAGCACCCGGCTCTCTCTTTTCTTTAGCACCCCTGTCCCAACTTCCAGTGAATCTGCTTGTCTGGTTTCCCTTGTGAGGCTCTGCTGGGCCAGGGATGCTCTGTTTCATCCAGGCTCCATTGTGGGTCATCCCGTCCCAGTGCTTCAGATGTGGAGCATGAGTTCACATGTCTCCACCTGCACCAGTTTGACATCAAACTCACTGCACTGCTGGCCCCCCACTTCTCCCCCAAGCCTGCTTCTCCTTTACATCCTGTGGCCCTCAGCACAGCTCTGTCCTGTAGCTACTCAGGTGACTGCACTGTAGTCTGGCCTTTCTCAAAAGCTCAGTCACCTCAGGGCCTCACAGAGCTGTAAGATCTCTGCCTCCTACCTGTGCCTCATCTGTGTTCCAGCTGGGCCTTTGTACCAGCCACACCCCCTGCTCAGAAGACTCCACTGTAGATGGTGTGCGGTTCATTATCTCACCTTCTTTAGGCTTTTGGGTATGTCTCCCCTGGAGGTTTTAGCCCACCACTTCATCCTGCTCTCCTTTGCTTCCATTCTGTGCCTGAACTTTGGAACAAGATGTGCCATTTGTTCACTGATTATGTTCATTTTTCTCCCTGTAAGGCCAGCACGTACAGGATGTTTGTTCATTTGTATCCTGATAAGTCCCCAGGGTCCACATGGGTACCTGGTACATAGTAGAATCACTAGGTTTGCACTGTGGGGAGCTTGTGGGTGAGGGTATGCTCTGGTGGCCACTGGTGTAGGGGTCTGGTGGGAACAGGCTCTGGCTTCAGCCATGTCCCCTGTGCTGTTTGGGCGTGGGTTATGTTCGGGCTGGTTCTGCATTCTCAGCCACTGTCTCACATCTGCCTTGCCCTTTGTCCCCAGTTTTCACAGTATATCCACGCTCAGGTAGCCACTGGCAAAGGGAAACTTGCTCCTGGCTTTGAGGCTGAGATGATCGTGAAGAATATGTTCACCAACCAGGACCGGAATGGCGATGGAAAGGTCACGGCTGAGGAATTCAAACTCAAAGACCAGGAGGCCAAACATGATGAACTCTAAAGCTGACATGAGCCAGGTGGATCCAGGGAGTGTATGACCCAGCCACCACTGTGGCAGAATGTAGGGAGGGTGAGGGCCATGGCAGTTTGTGGGCCACACGGACCTGGTGCAAACTTCAGACTGGGGGATATCCATGAGAGCCTTAGCTAGTGGACAGATTCTGCAGAGGCCTTAGGCAGGCTGTGAAAAGTGCTAGAAAGGCTATTCTGCCAGTCTGAGTCTTCCGGGCAATTTTGTCATTAAAGGAAAATAGGATCAGGTAGAAGTTTCCATTTCTTGGAGGAAACAGAATACCTTGTCCAACTCTATGTAAAGTGATTAAGTTTTTTATTTTTAACTTCCCAGTGTCTTAAAATGTTCTCCCCATGGGCAGGAGAAAGAGGCTTGCGTGCCTGGGAGAGTCCTGCTCTGCCTCTGGCTTTTCTCAGTGTTCTGTACAAACCCTGCCCTCCCCACCAGCCCCAGTTCCCCACTTATTAGAATATCCCATCCCACCGGAGCCATCCCTCACTGGCACATTAACGGGGCTTCCAGCAGACAACTCCACGGACCAATGAGTAGCTGTGAACCCTGCTGTGTGGAGCATCTACCTGGCTCTTTCCTCCCAGAGCCCATTCCCACCCCAGCCATGGCTGGTCCTCATGGCCAGGCCTTGTGGCCACTCAGCAGCCAAAATGACTTTTTCCTGCTGCTCCTTCCTGTATCCTAGAGGATGGGGCTCTGCAGGTCACCCCTCTGCCACAGGAAGGCAAAGATACTGCTTGCTGGTTGCTTTTCCCATCATGCAGTGGTCACACTGTGCCTTTCTTCTGCCCTTATTTGGTGTGGGCACTGCCCCCAGGCGATCAGTCAACCATTTCCTTTGGAAACTGCCTTTGTTCTAAGGCTGTTGTTGCATGGATGTAGCCTTGAGATGGTTCACGGAAATGCTGTACTTTCCTCTAGTGGAATAAATGTTGGAAACTCAACCTCACTGATGTAAAATGTTGAATCACATTGTTTCATTGTGGGACATTTTATCTGGAGGTACAGAGGGTCCCTGGAGAACACAGTGCCTGTGAGAGCCAAGCAGGACCCCACATGACAGTTCTGTACTTGCTGGAAAGGAAGTTATGCCTAGTGTGGGGGTGCAGGTCACGTGGTGTCTGGGGGGAATTCAGGGGTCCTGCAAGAAATCCAGGGGTCCTGAAGAGGAGTTCTTGAAAACTCTGTGGAAGTGAGGTAGGGTTTAGGACACCAGAGGGGTAATGAGGGCAGTGTTGGTTATCAGGTTGTTCACCCTGACCTGAAAGACAAGGAGAGTGGCTCACTCCGGTAATCCTAGCTACTCAGGAGGCTGAGACCTGAGGATTAGGGTTCAAAACCAGCACAGATAGGAAAGCTCATAAGACTTTTTAACCACAAAAAAAGCTGGAAGTGGAGCTGTGGCTCAAGTGGTAGAACACTAGCTTTGAGTGAAAGAGCTGAGAGACAGGATTTGGGCAGTGTCAAGCACTAGGACTGGCACAAGAACAGGTCAAGAAGAGGCAGCAGGAGAAGGGAGGGGTGGAGGCAGTCATTCAAGAGCCCAGGCTACTAGTGCAGCTGAGAGAAGTACAGATACCAGACTTTCTGTCCTTCCAGACTCTCTCCCTACACATGGCTACCTTCTCACCCTCCCATACTGCTGTCCTTCCATGCTTCTACCCTCCTATCTGTCCAACTTCCTGTCCATCCTTCAGCCTGTCCACCTGTCCTCCCTCCGTTTGTCTACCTTGCTGCCTATCAGTCCTGCTGCCCTTCCATCTCTCATCCTTCATTTCTCCCATACATCTACCCTTCTGTCCTATCCACATGCCCCTCCCCTCCACCCCGTTCCTAGTAGTTGAACCTTGTTCAAGGCCAGAGGAATGGGGTGACCTGTGGGTGCAGAGAAATGTGGAGAATGGATCTGAGCTATGGGTTGAGGTGCTGGTATTGAGGCTTGAACTCAAGGCCTCATGCTTTCCTTTGGGTTTTTTTTTTTTTTTTGTCGGTCATGGGGCTTGAACTCTGGGCCTGGGCGCTGTCCCTCAGCTCTTCAGCTCAAGGCGAGTGCTCTACCACTTGAGCTACAGCGCCACTTCCGGTTTTCTACTGGTTTATTGGAGATAGGAGCCTCACGGTCTTTCCTGCCCGGGCTGGCTTTGAACCGCGATTCTCAGATCTCAGCCTCCTGAGTAGCTAGGATTACAGGTGTGAGCCACCGGCGCCTGGCTCCTTTGGGTTTTTTAATCTAGGCTGGCACTATACCACAGCTCCACTTCTGGCTTTTTGTTTGCTTAATTGGAGGTAAGAGTTTCACAGACTTTCCTGCCTGGGCTGGCTTTGGAACTAAATCCTTAGATCTCATCCTCCAGAGAAGCTAGGATTACGGGTACAGAGACACCGGCACCTGGCTAGTAATGCATCTTTGGATGACTGCTAAGTTCTTGAATACATGCATGGTGTGGCTGTGCATGTGACAAGGGGACACATATGGAAGCTGTAGGGTAGGGGCCTCAGAGAATACCATATCTCAGGGTACTCAGCACAGGAAGTTACCCTGACCCTAATTTCCTCAGGATATGATAAGAGTTCAAGTCTTGGGTTGGGTGGTAGCTCAGTGGCAGAGTGCTTGCCTGCCATGTGCAAAGCTGGGGTTTGACCCTTGCATCACAGAATACTTTTATAAAAGGAAAATTGCAGGTCTTAAGGTTTTGTACACTTACACCATTTGTTTTTTTAATGGATGTATTATGAAGGCCTTTGGAAAGCATCTAGGATGATAGCAGAATGCTGAAATCCAACTAGTCATTTCTACTGTTTTCTTCTTCTTCTTCTTCTTTTTTTGCCAGTCCTGGTACTTGAACTATGGGCCTGGGTGCATCTTTTGCTCAAAGCTAATACTCTACCACTTGAGCCACAGCACCATTTCCAGCTTTTTCTGTTTATGTGGTACTGAGAAATCAAATTCAGGGCTTAATAATTGCTAGATAAGCACTCTACCACTAAGCCACATTCCCAGCCTTCTATTTTTTTTTTTCTATGTGAAAAACCTTCCAGTAAGTTCTGACATTTCCATCACACTACCTGCTTTCCTGTATTAACTTGAAACCTGGAGCCTTGCACATGCTAAGTACACACTTTGCTTTTGGACTTTTCCTTTTGCAGTGCTGGGGTGGGACCCAGGGTTTCTGGCTTTCTAGATAAGTGTTCTATCACTGAGTCACCTCTCTGGTGCAAGCTGATTTTTGAGCTCGACCTTAGAAATACTTAAACAAGGTCTAGCCTACTTTTTGCTCTTTCTTATTTTGTTTCATTGTTTAGTCTATAGAAGGAGAGGCAGTAGAGGAGGGTAGCAATTGCACTTTCTTTCCACCCCCAGAAATCCCATCACAACACTGACTCGGAGCCAACTAACATGGTGTGTGGATCACAACTCAGATGCCACAACAAATCACTTAAGTAGCCCATGGCTTCTTAAGTTCAAGGTCAGATGGTGAAATATATCACAGTGGCAAATCTAAGCCTATAAAAGGCAATTATGGCACAGAAGCAGATATTTTAGAGTGGAAGCTGGATTGGTTCCTAACCTGGTATTTCCCAGTTTATTCTGTTTTCAAACTCATAAGAAAGCACTTTCTCCAGAGGTTTTCAGTAGAGAAGAATCATTTTTACAGGCCTCAGTATTTTCTGGAGGACAGGCTGAATTTTCTCTGCAAATCTCTTTCTTATGCTTGGATTTAAAATACACGACTTTTAAAAATCATTCAAACTGGGTGCCAGTGGCTCCCACTTGTAATCCTAGCTACTCAGGAGGCTGAGATCTGAGGATCACGGTTCAAAGCCAGCCCAGGCAAGAAAGGCTGTGAGACTCTTATCTCCAATAAACCACTAGGAACCCGGAAGTGGTGCTGTGGCTCATGTGGTAGAGCGCTCGCCTTGAGCTGAAAAGTGCAGGGACAGCGCCCAGGCCCCACAACCGACAAAACAAACGGACACAAACAACAACAACAAAAAAATCATTCAAAATAAATAGCCACTACAGCAAGGATGCTGGGACTCATCTGTCACAGAATGAAGGAAGGAGGAAACCTATGGCAGGTGATTGGCACAGTAACTGCTGAAAAATACAGCCAGGACAGCAGAGCTGAAAATGAGAAAGGCTTTTCATGTCCATACATGTATTATCACTGCATCACATGGAAAATCTGCAATGTTCAGCAACACGAGTGGCTGTCTGTGTCCGAAACACATCTACCAGTGTTTCCTAGGAAATTGTGACCAAGTATGTAACACAAGCGCAGAAGATGGCGGCACCCATGGTCATTACAATCCACAATAGAGCAGCCACACTAAAAATCATGCAGATTGTCACCATTTCATAAAAATGCTACAAATGTCCCTGTGGTTGAAGACCTCATGAAACCTTTAAACAAAAAGCTCACTCTGGATGAGTGGGGAGATATGTTTCTAATTTTGGCTTTAAGTTGTTAAAAAATCAGTTTTAAAAATGTGGCGAGGAGTATCTTGAGGTGGACATGAGGTGTTTCCAGCTGACCAATGGACGCCTCTGAAAGCACTTCAACCACACAGAGGGAAAACTTCAAGAGCAACCACATTATAAACAGGAGTTCATCAGCACAATGGATGGGGAGATTGTATGGCTGTGCCCAAGGCAAAAACACTTGTTATAGAATCTTCTGAAAAATAGAGTTGGCCACCTCCAGAGATTCATCTTTGATTAAAACAATATCATAAGAGTCCATGTATTTTTCCAAAAGCTCTTCTACCTAAGAGAATAAGAGAGATAAGTCAGTACAGGGAGCAGCATACAATGTGCACATTAATCTCATCCAGGCAGAGCTATAGAATATAGCAAATGAAATTCAAGTTCGTAAAACATTCTTCAAACTTTAAAGGTTGACAGATGTGTTTGCCAAATGGTAGCTTTTCTTCCAGAATGCTTTCTCTTCAGTCTAGAGGTCTTAACCAGGCAGTTCTGACTGAGGGGAACTTCAAAGTCCTGAGACTTATTTTCTTTTGCTAAAGCCTAGCACTCTACCACTTGAGCCAAAATCCTACTTTTAGCTTTTCTTCTGGGTAATTGGATATAAGAGTCTCACAGACTTTCCTTTCTAGGTTGGCTTTGAACCCTGATCCTCAGATCTCAGCCTCCTGAGTTGCTAGAGTTACGGGCGTGAGCCACCATCACTGGCTGGAGACATTTTTGATCCTGCTGAGCAGGACGCATGCCCAGCACCTGTAGCCACCCGGGAGAGATGGATGCCTCTCATGCCAACACTGTAGGCTCGCTGCACTGGCCACCACAGTGAAGAGGTGACATAAGCGTGTGCTAGTGCAACCTGGGCAACAATCACCAGAAAGCTTCATCCTCATTTTTTCTTAAAAAGTAGCTGCAGACACTGGTCACAATAGCTAGGATATGGGAACAACCCAGATGCCCCACCACAGATGAATGGATCCAAAAATTGTGGCATCTATACACAATGGAATATTATGCAGCCATTAGAAATGACAAAATAATGGCATTTGCAGGGAAATGGATGGAGCTAGAAGGAATCATGTTGAGCGAGGTAAGCCAAGAGCGAAGAGACAAAGGGTACATGGTCTCCCTGATAAGTGGATGATAAATCCAAAATGTTAGGTGATACGACAAAACTAACAGGACTTAAGAAACAAAGAACTCCCACTCATCTGGTTGAACCACTACTAAATATCCCCATGCTGCTGATCACATATATGGTATATAACATGTGAACACTGTTATATGTTACAGACTGTGATAGACAATTTGCTCCAGGAAAGTTAGAATGAACTTGTGACTTTAAATGAGCATCATTATTCCACAATACTGTGAAATTCCGGAAATTATGTAATCACTTAATCACAATAATAAAAAAAAACCTCGGAGAAGGGAGGGAGGGAGGGGATGGTAGGGGGAAAACAATGGAGGGGGTAACAATGGTCAAGAGGAAGTGTACTCATTACCTCACTTATGTAACTGTAACCCTCTGTATAGTATCTTTACAATAAAAAAAAAAATAAGCCAAATGTCAATTGGAATTTAGCAACTGGGAATGAAATGGAGGAACCTAGTAAAGTGTGGGGAAAATAATGGACAAATAAAAAAGTAAGTATAAAGAACTTTTGCATAAAAAAAAAAAAGTAGCTGTAGACCTGACACTCACCCGGTCATTTAGATAGCCGATTTTCAGGACATGCTGGATGTTGGCGACTCCATCGGCCATCCGTGGGTCTCCTTGGGAGTCCCCCAGGAGGATGACATTACTGTTGTCCCTCACTTGGCCGAAATAGTCACTGTTCTTCAAGGCACCATTGTGCTTGTTAAATACGTGGATCAGCTCTCCCTTAAAACCCCTCAGCACCCCCTGTCAGAAATACAAGGATTTTGAAATGACAGCTTTCACTGATTGTCCTACTGCATAGTTCTTAATAGATTCACTAAGATTCTACTTGTTTGTAAACATCTCTTGGACACCCAATCTAATCACCACACTCACGAGTTTAAGTGCTTGGAGAAGAACTTTTCTTTTTTGTGTGCCTATCCAAGGCCTGGGCACTATCTGAGTTTTTGTGCTTAAGGCTGGCGCTGCTCCATCACTTAGAGCTACATTTCTGCTTTTGGTTTTTAGATGGTTAACTGAAGAAAAGAGTCACACAGACTTCCAGGCTGGCTTTGAAACAGGATCCTCAGCTCTCAGGCCTCCTAAGGAGCTAGGATTACAGGCATCTGGCACTGGCTATGAATAACTTGTTTTATGGTGACCACTCTAAATGGTAAAACACAATGAACTGAGAATTCAACTAACACTTATCATACTGTATCTTCTTCCTAATCACAATGTCCTACTTTATATATTTTAAAATAATACACTGTCTTGATTCTTTATTAAGAAGATTCATTTAAACAGTGTCAGTTCTAATTTGTTTTTAAAATAAAATCTATAAATGTCTTTAGTTGTTGTAGTTAAAAAAAAAAAAGAGAGAGAGAGCCAGTGCCCCATTCTTATAATCCTAGCTACTTAGGAAGCTGAAACCTGGAGGATGGAAGTTCAAAGCCAGTCTGGATAGCAAAGACTGTGAGACTCCATCTCCAGTTAACCAGTAAAATGCCAAATTGGAGAAGTGGCTCAAGTGGCAGAGCACTAGACAGAAACAAAAAAGCCAAGTGAGAGTATGAGGCCTTGAGTTCAAGCCCTGGTGCCAGCATATACACACACTGACAGAGACACTTAAGCATATACATACACACAGACAGACACACACAAGGTCTATTAACTTATAAATGATAATTTAAGAAAGTTATTGTTATCATTTTATTTTTATTTTTGTCCATGGTGGAGCTTGAACTCTGGGCTTGGGCGCTGTTCCTCAGCTCTTTAGCTCAAGGTTAGTACTCTACCACTTGAGCCACAGAGCCAGTTCTAGTTTTCTGGTGGTTGATTGCAGATAAGAGTCTCACAGACTTTCCTGCCTGGGCTGGCTTTGAAATGCAATGCTCAGATCTCAGCCTCCTGAGTAGCTAGGATTATAGGCATGAGCCACCAGCGCCTGGCTAAGAAAGTTATTATTTTTAAAAATAAAGATAGGACATTGGATGGGATAATGAGTTCCATAATAGAACTACTGACTTCAGCTGATTAAATGAATGTTTGTCAAATAATAATAGAGAGCAGATTAATTTGTATGATTAAAATGCTTCAGGTTTTAGAAGTAGTTCTTAGCAGAGTGTGGCAACCTTGGAGGTACAGGCAGGACAGGGAGATCCCATCTTCACAAGAACAAAAGGTCACACTTAGGATTGATTCTGTCTTCTTACCTTTTCATCGAAGTCCATGAAGTTGGACACGACTCTGACATTTGGATAATAAACTCCAGCTTGGCGGATGACTTCCTCCAGGACATCACCAATTCCAGCCGAAAAGATGAACACAGGCACGCCGTGCTGACGCAACTTATCGAAGAAATTCTCATACCCTTCCCTGCCAGGTAGGGAACAGACTCATGGTCAACCCTTCTCTGCCTTGACTTAATCACAGAAATTCTCTTTGCCCTGCCGAGTGTTGTATAGAGAAGAAGGTGGGTGAGGTAGGGAACAAATTCATTGTTAATGAGCAGAGTATTTCCTGGCTACTTAGAAGGGGAAAGGAGAAAAATTTCTGCCTAATTCTGTGGTTCATTTATATTTTCATCTTTTAATCAGTCGTAAGATGAGATGTGTTTAGGTCTTCAATGAATATGGATACAAGGATTCACATTTATACCACTTAAAGGCAAGTAATTAAAACCACACCTTGAAAAGCCCCTTCAGGGTGGCCATTGGCCTGACTGCTTGGCTCTTCTCAGCCACCAGAGCAATGGACGAGCTGTGCCCTGTACTCCTGACATCTCCTTCCCAACTCCTCACCACCTTTTGCCATCCTTCTAAGTTGCAGGTTAATCTAACCAATCACTCACTGCTCATGGATCGAATACTCAGCCATACGCAATGCTCTTTCTGACAAGTTCATAATTTCCTTACAGAAGTAATCACTTTAAAATACACCATCATTCAGACTGAAAAAAGAAAATGAAGACTTGGCTGGTGGGAGGCTGCTCAGGGTCAGAGCTCTTATTGCCAGGGAGAGTATCTGGGTCCTGATCCCTAATATCATGTACACCAAAAATGTAGAATCATATTTGTCTCATGAATTGAAAAACATTTATTTTTGTTGGTTGTAGGGCTTGAACTCAGAGCCTGGGTATTATCCTGAGCCTCTGTGCTCAAGGCTAGCACCCTACCACTTGTGCCACAGTACCACTTCCACTTTTTGAGTGGTTAATTGGAGATAAGAGTCTCACAGGTCGGGTCACTGGTGGCTCACACCTGTAATCCTAGCTACTCAGGAGGCTGAGATCTGAGGATCACAGTTCAAAGCCAGCCTGGGCAAGAAAAGCTGTGAAACTCTTATCTCCAATAAACCACCAGAAAATGGGAAGTGGTGCTGTGGCTCAAGTGGTAGAGTGCTAGCCTTGAGCTGAGGACTAGTGCCCAGGCCCAGAGTTCAAGCCCCAAGACAGACAAAAAAAAAAAAAGTCTCACGGGGACTTTTCTGCCTGGGTTAGCTTCCAACCCCGATCCTCATATCTCGGCCTCCTGAGTAGATAGGATTACAAGAATGAGCCACTGGTACCTAGCTGTGAGTTGAAAATTTGAACAGATGGTAAGCAATATTGCAAATTAGATAAAAGCCTTTTACATATTTTAATTCACAGTATTTTAATTATGAAAATATATTTCTGACAACATTTCAATGAAGTGTGACAACTGAGACAGTAGATTACTGGAAATTTAGAAACAACGTGCTTACTTAAATCTTTCCCAACTTGATTACTTTCATATTTAAATATTCCTTTCATATTACACATCTTGCAAAAATGTTTTTTGCTAAAGGATTTCAAAATGGTCTTGGTTGCATAAATTCCTAAGTAAGTCTAGCCTGCCTTATTTTTTGTTTATTACGTGTGGTCTTGACTAAGTGCAGTCAAAACAGAGTTCCCATGTGGGTTCATATATCAGCAGATGTGTATAAGCTGTCCCACGCATGTTTCAGTCAGCTGTGTTTCAATCACTTTGTGTTACCTGCTGAGTTTTTCCTGACCTTCATTTTGTGACCATTTGCCTTCAAAAAAGCAAATAGTAAGCTGGGCACTGTGGCTCATGCCTGTACTACCCAGGAGGAAGAGATTTGAGGATCTTAATTCAAAGCCAGTTCAAGCTGGAAAGTCTGTAAGATTCTTATCCCCAATTAACTACTCAGAAAAGGCCTGTAGTGATGCTGTGGTTCAAGAGGTAGAGCACTAGCCTTGAGCAAAAGAAGCTCAGGGACAGCACCCAGGACCTGAGTTGAAGCCACAGGGCTGGCACAAGAAAAACAAAAATCAAGTGCTGCCTCCAAAGCAGAGTGAAGGTGAATGTACTTTACTAAAGTAGTAAGTGAAAATCTGAGCTAATGACAGGTAGTTTGTCTTTCAAGGAAGTTGCCTGGTTGGGGGAAAATGAGTCAGGCACCTTCAGGACAGTACTGATCTTTATGCATCTTAAGCATGTGCAATTTTCCTCAGGGGCAGTCTCCTTGGAACCCTGGAGGGTCTCCTGCATGTCAACACCAATAATAACAAATAAATCCCCTCGACACTTACTTGAGCATGATGTCAGATTCAGCCACGATTTCTTTAAGTTTAGCTTTCTGTATACCTTGTTCAACAAGCAAACCATGTGATTTAGTATACCTATAGGTTAAGACAGAAGAAAAATAGGCAAATGAAAACACAGCCGGAACAACCACCACCACCACCACCACCACCACCACCACCACCACCACCACCACTACCACCACCACCACCACCAAAGACATTAGCTAGGTTCCAGTAGTTCATGCCTTACTTCTAGCTACTTAAGAGGGCTGACCTGGGAAGGACTGCATTTTAAGACCAGACTGAAAAGTAAGGCTTACAAGACCCCCTTTTCACCCCATAGGTGGGGGCAGTGGCAAAGTGTCCTCCCAGTTTCCTAGGAGGTTGAGAACAGGAAAGTCATTGTTCAAGGCCAGCCCAGTCAGAATAGTCCACGAGACTCTTATCTAAATAGCAGATGCTGGGATGATGGTATAAACCTGACATCTCAGCTACAAAGGGAAGCACAACAGGTAGATCACTGTTCAAGAATGTGCCTGGGCATGAATCAAGACCATCTTAAAAAAACAAAAACAAAAACACAACAACAGTGCAAAAAAAGGTCTAGAGGTATGGCTGAGTGATTGAGTACCTGCTTAGCAAGGTGCGTGAGTGCGAGCGTGCATGTGTGTGTGTGTGTGTGTGTGTGGCTGCCTGACACAAAGTCTTACTATTGTAGCCCCAAACTCCTGATCCTCCTCCCCTCCCACCTCTCTCTCACCTCTGTAGTGCTGGGATTACAGGCATGTAGCACCATACCTGGCTGCAAAGTATTCTTGAGTATAAGAAGGTGATTTTTGCTCACCATATTGCATTTACATCTTAAGAGATTTCAGCTCATCACTGATGAATGGATATCTCAGTGTGCCTAAAGGTGCAATGTGTATTTCCTGTATTTCCCAGTTCTCACAAATTCAGGCTTGGCTTAAATAGGCTAAGGTAGTGAGAATTACAGGCCATAACCCTCTCTTCGGTCTACAGGCAAGAACACAAGCCAACTTAGGGTGGCAAATCCTCTCCAACTTCAGTAAGCTGTCACTTGGTCATCAACTTAACGTCTGAAATGTCTGAGTTCTGAAATTCTGCCTATGCGGCATGGAGAATGTATGCAGATGGATATGTTTTATAATTAGGTAGCCCCCTTAGGCCCTACCTTTCAGGGTAAGAACCCTAAGAACTTGACTCATGGCCAGATGACTCAGTGTCCTTGAGCAGTCCCTCTTGGTGAAGTGAGTTACTGTCCCTGCCTCACAACAAAGCTGATGAGGAAGGACTGGCTGGCACTCTGGGTCCAAGGGCAGGTAGAGTCTGTCTTCAACATTCAGTACCAGAAACGCAGAAGCCCTGTGCAAGTGGACTTGTTAGGGGATGGGCTAGGGGAGATCCACAGTCTATTCCTGACCTCTTGAAGTTTTCAATTCAAAGCATTTTATCCATGAGGGGCTGTCCTTGAGTGGTGTGGCTGATGTCTGTGATCGCACTGGTGGATCTGCTGCTCTGTTCACCAGGGTTTGTCCCAGCAGCATTTTCTCTCCCAGAACCCAGGACACTCAGCTGGTCTTCTTGGTCCAGAGTCTGGCCTCCACATGTGCCTGCTGCACCCAAGCATTCTGCCAATTCAACCCTAATGCTTTGTCTCTACTAAGGCACAACTTGCTAATGTGCCTCTTTCAAAAAATCCTTGTTCTAAAGACTGAAATGCAGGGTCTCATAATGTGGTCTGTATCTACACCATTTTTTTGGATTCCTACAGAACTTCAACTTAGATGCTAGAGTGTAAGAGGGAGTTTCCCGAGCTCAACTGTAGTTCTTGGTTCACTGTGAATGAGCACCAGGGGAATCTGCACTGAGTCTGACTAGCTTTTTTACGTTGGTCCTAGAACTTAAACTCAGGCCTGGGCACTGTCCTTGAGCTACTTTTTGCAGAGGATAGTGCTCTACTATTGAGCCATCGCACCGCTTCCAGCTTTTTCTGAGTAGTTTTTATTGGAAATAAATCTCACAGACTTTCCTGCCCATGGTTGGCCTCCAACTGTGATACTCAGATCTCAGCCTCCTGAGTAGCTAGGATTACAGGCGTGAGCCACCGGCACCTGGCTAGTCTCACTAGCTTTTCTCCCCAAACTCACCACTCCACGATGAATGGGCATTTCTCTTCCACGGTGAGGACAGGGTCAACTTCGATGGCATAGTACTTCTCCTTCAGCTCCAGCAACTAGGAGAGTAGGAGATGTGGTTTTGTGGCTAATGTGCTTATTACAGAAAGCAAAACAAGGCAACAAGTTGTTTCCCATAAATTGTGTTACAGGGCAAGATTGAGTCCACAGCTGACCGTGAGGCTCTATGGACACTACATATAATTCAATGTACCTGCAAAGGGCCACCTTTCTTTTTAAAGTACTCCCAGCCAGCAATTAGGATAAAGAAATTACTAATCAGACTGTGATCACAAGGCAACTTTAAAGTTTAAATCTTCAATGACTCTGTCTTACTTAGTTAAGATAAACTGAGGCAAAAAGATAAACTGAGTCAGCTAATCAGCAAAGTACTAACTGAAGTAATTTCTCCATAAATTTAATAGAAGAAAAAAAAGATGCGCATTGGTGACTCATGCCTGTAATCCCACCTAATCAGGAGGCTGAGATCTGAGGATCTCTGTTCAAAACCAGCCTGGGCAGAAAAGTCTATAAGACTCTTACTTCCAATTAACCAGAGGGGGGAAAAAAAAACAGAAGTGGAGGCATGATGCAAGTGATATAGCACCAGCCATGTGTAGAAAAAGTTGCTTTAGATCTCGAGGCCTGAGTTCAAGCCCTGGTACTAGCAATAAAATAGCTGGGTGCTGGTGGCTTATAACTGTGATCCTAGCCACTCAGGGCTGAGATATGAGGATCCTGGTTAGAAGCCAACACAGCCAGGAAAGTCAGTAAGACTCTCATCTACAATTAAGCACCAAAAAAATCTGGATGTGGAGCTCTGCCTCAAGGGATAGATCAATAGTCTTGAGCCAAAAAACTAAGGGACAGTGCCTAGGCCCTGAGTTCAAGCCCTAGGACCAGCAAAATAAATAAATAATAAAACTATATAAAACCAAAGTGTTTTTAATTTTCTAACACAGGATACTTAAATATTTTAATAATCATTCAAAATTTTTAAATCTAAATTTTGATGTTTATAGTCACTGTTAGCTAGATGCAGTGGCTCATGCCTGTAATCTTGGCTACTTGAGAAGCTGAGATCATCAGGATCAAGGTTTGAGGCTGTCTGGGGCCTCATCTCAACCAATACAAAGCCAGAGGTGGGTCTACATGCTTCTTGTCCCAGCTACACAGGATGCATACACAGGATTGTGATCCCGGCTGGCTTTGTCAAGGGATGAGACCTTATTCAAAAAATAATGAATGCAAAAAGGGCTAGAGGTAGGGCTCAGTAAGCATGCCTTCCTAGCAAGGCCAAGGCCTGGAGTTCTGCCAGAAGGAAAATAAAAGTTTCTTAGTTTTTCCTTAACAATACGCTGAGCACAGCTCCTTGCACAGTAAATCTGTGAATGCCTACCATGTAGCAGGAAGGCTGTGAGCCCTGCTCCAATTCTCACTTGTGACAACGACCCCAGCAGACACTGAGTGTGCAAATACACAACCACAATGTGGCTAGCAGGGTCCCAGAAATTACCTTCTTTCGACACTCGTCAGTAACAAACTTGCAGTTGTCAATGACATCTGAGGGGGGAAGCAAAGCAGGCATTGTAAGAGAAAATCTGCTCAGGGCTCCCACACCTGTATTTTCACAGCTAAGTCCACGAAGAACAGTGTTAGTACAATCTTCAGTCTCGGTGGTGTGTTCTTGCACACACTGCATGTCACAGGCTGCTGTCACCAACACTGTGAGCTGAATCCTGAACTTCCCACCTTGTTTTTTTTAGGGCCCAGTCCTAGGGCTTGAACTCAGGGCCTGGGTGCTGTCCTTGAGCTTCTTCTGCTCAAGGCTAGTGTTCTATCACTTAAGCCAGTGTTCCACTTTTGGCTTTTTGGTAGTTAATTGGTGAGTGACTTTTCTGCCTAGACTGGCTTTGAACTATGATCCTCAGGATCTCAGTCTCCTGAATAGCTAGGATTACACTGTGCCCAGGCCCCAGATTATTTTTATTAAATAGAAGAAATGTCTCTTGAAAAAAGGCCTTTTCTTAACAGAGCATTTAATGTAAAAATATGGAAAATAGGGACTGGAAAGTTGGCTCAGTGGTAGAGTGCTTGCCTTGCATGCATGAGCCCTTGGGTTCAATTCCTCAGCACTACACAGGCAGAAAAAAGCCAGAAGTGGCACTGTGGCTCAAGCTGTAGGGTGCTAGCCTTGAGCTGGAGATTTGAGGGACAGCGCCCAGGCCCAGAGTTTAGCCCCTGTGACTGACAAAATATAAAAAAAGGAAAATATTATTATAAAAAATTGTATTTCTATCATTCAAACTAAATTATTAATGTTAGTACATTTTCTTTCATTTTTAAGTTTTGTGTATTTTTAATTAGATGAGAGATCAAATCACATCTGGAATTTTTATTGCTTTTCAATTTTTAATGTGGTCTGTATTTTTTTTTTTACTTTTTTTTTTTGTCAGTCATGGGGCCTGAACTCTGGGGCTGGGCACTATCCCTCAGCTCTTCAGCTCAAGGCTAATGCTCTACCACTTGAGCCACAGTACCACTTCTGGCTTTTTTTGCTTATGTGGTGCTAAGGAATGGAACCCAGGGCCTCCTGCATGCAAGGCAAGCGCTCTACCACTGAGCCACCTTCCCAGCCCAGTGGTCTGTATTTATACCATTTCTGTACTGCTTAATTTTTTAGGTTGCTTCAGGCTCTTATTCTTATACATGATTTTAAGTTGATCTTTTTTTTTTTGGTGTGTGTGTGTGTGTGTGTGTGTCTTGCTGGAGATCAAAACTAAGGCTTTACACATGCTAACAGGCATAGTAATTCAGCCCAGAATATCTTATAAATGCAATTTCTCTCAGTTAATTTAAACATTCTTGAATAATAGTTGACATTTGGTGACAAGTTTTCTCAAGCCTCCATTCTCTGCCATCGGACTACACACACAAAGAAGCATTTCCAGAAACACATGTAAAAGCAAACCCTCACCACACAGGAAGAGGAGCAGTGTCTCCTCACTTCCAACAGCTGGAAGGCTGTAGCACAGGCAACACAGAGATGTGAACGAACATGCCACTGTGCCACGCGGAGGTGTGAGTGTGAAACTGACATGCAGAGATGTGAAGATGACACTTACTATGACATGTTGGGCACCTTTTCCCTTCATAGGAGAATCTACTCAGTGTCATATCAAAGTCTGTGATTATCTGTAAGAAAAGAGAAAGGCATTAGGCAGCCACAGAGACCACCGCCACAATCACTGCTGTTCTTTCTACCTTGTGCTCTCCTCTCCACCATGCACTGTCCACTCCACTCCATGCTATCCTCTCTACCCTGCTTCGTCCTCTCCACCCCTCACTGTCCATTCTACCCCACACTATCCTCTCCACATCCCACTGTCCACTCCACCCATGCTGTCCCCTCCACACTGTCAGTGCCCTGGACACAGACAGAGCTGGCTCCTAGCCCTCTGTAGTTATAATCCGTGTGCTCAGCTGTCGGGTACAGTTGGTAGCCTTCACTAGGAAGTGTGACCAGTGTCTATTACCACGTCAGATACAGTTACTCCATGTGAGACTGCAGCAGCCATTCTTCTCTCTACGTTAAAACATTACACACTCAACTGCCTGGTTCGGTGTGCAGAAACACAATGGCAGCAGTTGAGCCCACGAGGCTCCAAGATCCTGAACTGGTCACACCTGACCCATGTTACCTCATGACCTGGTCACACTTAATCTATACACACGACTCCACCATGACCCTATCTCATATGACCTGTATATGTTACTCCATGACCCTGTTACATATGACCTATATATGTCACGTGACCTGTTACACTGTGCTCATCTAACATGCTGGATCTAATTTCCCTACTTATGGTAAATCATACCCACTTAATATGATAGTTTGGTAGCTCAAAAAACAGGAGATCGGATTAATATTAGAAATACTTAAAAAGGAATTGTTTGGTGACTATTCATGCCATGGTTTAATTACATTTAAAATGTTCCTTAAAAAAGGAGAATTACAAAGTTCAATGAATATGCTTCCTTTCTTATTACAATGACAGAGAATTAAAATACAAAACAGCAACCTGAAAGAGTATACTTTTAAATATCATTATTAAAGTGTCTGAATACCTATGCACGGTATTTGTTAGCTAAGTATTCAATTCTGAAGAAAACAGAGTTTGGGGCTGGAATGTATCCGAGTGGTACAGCACATGCTTGACATATGCTTAATCTTATGCAGAAAAAAAGAAAAAGGAAAGGAGGAGAGAGGCGAGGAGTAAAGAAGGGAGGGGGTAGGAGGGAGGGGGTAGGGAGGGCAGGGAAGGGACTACTGGGCATGGTAGAACACGGCTGTAATCCCAGGCAGGGTCCAACCCAGCCTGGGCTACACAGTGAGTTCCAGATAAGCCTGGGTTGCAAATTGAGTGTCTAAAAAATAAGGAGAAGAGACAGAAAGAGAAGGAGAAAAAGGAGAAAGGACCTATATTTATCTCAAGACTAGTACTTTTTGTGCCCAACAGAGCATTCTGTGTGTTTTAGGCCAATTCTAGCTACATTGTTTTAGATTTTAAATCCCCCAAAACAGATAACAAGAGGACTAACTACATTTTCCTGAGATTTTATCTAAATAGGAAAACTATTCTACTTGAATGATTAAAAACAAATTAATTCCATGATATAGACTTCACCTGAAGTTTGGCAGCTCCTCCTTTGATAAGACCACAGATGATTTCTTCTACTCGTGTAGGGTTCTTGATACGAACTGAACTTTTCTGGAATTCTGGCATCTAAGAGGCAAAAGGAAATTAACTATTTTTAATCCCTCTTTTTCCTGGTTCCTCTGTTATTAAGCAGAAGCCTGTATTATTTAGACATACAGCAATGTTGAGATATATCCCGGAATGGTGGTGCAAAGCTGTATTCTAAGCACTAGGGAGGCAGAGGCAGGAGGCCAATCTGAGCTACATAGTGAATCCTTGTGTCAAAAGCAAACGCAGAAAGGCTGAGGCACTGTTTTTTAAATGTAAGCCACCCTGCTGGGAATGTGGTAGAGTGCTTGCATAGTATGCATGAAGCCCTTGGTTCAATTCCTTAGTACCACATAAACAGAAAATGCCAGAAGTGGTGCTGTGGTTCAAGTGGTAGAGTGCTAGCCTTGAACAAAAGAAGTTCAGGGACAGCCCTCAGGCCCTGAGTTCAAGGCCCAGGATTGGCAAGAAAAAAAAATGTAAGCCACTATAGACACACAAGAGTTTTTAGAGCACATTTATCATCTCCATCTTGAAGACTAAAATTGTGTCAGGCACATAGTTTTTATGTATGGCACATGCTGGGATTACAAGCGTGTACCACTATGTCCAGCTACATTTCTCATTTCTCCTCTAATAAAAGTGGAGTGAGAAGAACACTACCATAAGAAACACAGTTCCTTTAGCACCATACAGTGGGGAGGAGGGATTATTTTATAGTGGTTTATGGTAGATTTTACCATCAGCTACACAGCACAGACAGTAACAATATCTCATATTATTCGGATATCTTTATGTGTTTTTATTCTAGATTAGCTATTGCCAATATTAATGCACTTCATGCATGTTATGAAATCCCTAGATTTCTGTCTTGCATTAAAAAGAGACTCTAACAAGGTTAATCTACCAGGTCCTCTGGTATTCCTAAATATGGACAAGAATGGAGATTCTAGAAATGGATAGACACTTTTCCAGAGGCTGGAAGCTTCCAGAAGTAGACAGGAAAGAGAAGTGCTCATGCTAACATTTTCTTCCTGAATGAAAAGAGCTGGACCTACCATACACTCCACACCCACACTCCAGCTGGCATGGAGAATGCATGAGCTCTACCACTCCGATAACCCTTCATGAACACACTATATCTATCGCTGAGCTACACACACACACACACACACACACACACACACACACACACACACACACTCTATCACTGAGCTATCCCTTTACCACCAACAGCCCCATTTTGAGGATGGGGCATTCACAAAGCAATCAAACCTTGACATGGCGATTCTTCTGAGTTTCAGTGATGGAAGTTTTGAAAATGACAGAAGGTTCTCTAAGATATTTATGTACAAGGAACTCAAGAGAGACAGGCAGGCAGGCTCCACTCTGTCCCATCATGATCTATTCATTGCATAGTCAGTGCCCTAGTGGAGTCTCGTTTGTGCCAGACGCTCAAGCGAGAGGCGAGGGCTGGGTGCTGGCATCCTCACACCATACTCTAGAGCAGTAAGAACCCATGCTGTCATGCAGGATCCCCTCCCAGCTCCCTTTCCAGCCACTGCTCATATCCTGACAGCCTCCCTGGAAGATACAGAGTGATCAGCATGTTTGCCATGACTAACCCATTCAACCGAGAAGAGTAAAGGATGGCATTACCAGTCTCATTGTCACCACAAAACCCAGCACCAGGTCAGAATGGTTGCCTGTCTTAGGTCTTAGGGGATAGCCAGGGGACTAGATCCCAGGTCACTGCCTGGCTATGTCACCACCCTAACTCCTGTCCCAAGGCTTTACTCTTTCCCAACACTTCAGGATGGTTTTATTATGAAGTGACTTTTCTTCTTATCACAAAGCATGGAAACTTTAAGCCTATGTTCATTTCCCATAATGTTGCAAAGTTTTCAGGCAACTGATTGAACCTGCTCTTCAACTCTGCTTAAGGCTGCTTTCTGCACTCTCAATCAGTGCCCATGAAGAGAACCAAATGCTTGAGGCATCAGCAGCTGTGCCAGTTGTTCCAGATAAATAAGTAGCAAGTGGCCAGCAGCCCTGGAGGGAGCAAGGAATGACAGCAGAGGAGAGAACAGTGCCTGCTTGGGACACAAGATGTTGGAGGACATCTGTGGAAATGTGGCAGCCCAGGTTCAATCCCCAGCAGAGGAAGGAAGACGGAAATGATCATTATAGGTATATAACACTCCTCCACTGCAACACATACATGCACAAACACAGACACACCCACTCACATATATATATGTGCTCACTGTCACTAAATACTTCCCAGGTGCCTTTGGGAATATATCCAAACAACAGAGTTGAAGCACTGCAGTCTGGGAAAGGTCACAGGCCACCAGACCACTCAGAAGCCCCGGGAGGGCAGGCATATGAAATCTGTCTCATGCATTTCTTGCCCCACATCCTTTCCCTCCAGGTTCTTCATGTACAAAATAAAGACGGGTTTGGTGGTGAACTGCATAATCACGCTTCAAACCTCAAGGGCAAGTTATTTTGAAGGGTGGAATGTTTTTTCCATTTGTTTGTGATACAATGTTACAGAAAACAAGAAAAGTAAGAAAAGGAAAACAAGGCCATAATACAAAAAGCTGGGGTGTGCACAGCCTTGCTGTGGAGACCCAGGGAGAGAGGCTGACTGGGGAGGCTGCGCTGATTCAGCACTAAAAATTAAGAAGCACCTCAAGCATATTAATTCTGAACTCAGGTCTGTGCTCTTGCTTAGCTTTGTCTCTCAAAGCTGGGGCTTTTCCACTTGAGCCACAGCTCTACTTTCTGATTTTTTTTTTTAAATTTTGAGGCAAGGTCCAGCTATGTAGCCTAAGCAAGCTTTGAACTCACTCTATAGCCTTGCTGGCCTTGAACTTTCAATCTTCTTGCCTGTCTCTTACAGCTACTGAGATTATAGGCAGATACCACTGTTCTGGCTCTGAATTTTAATGTATTGCATTTATACAGACGAAGTGAACTCCCAATCATCAGTCTATTTCCACATATGGTTTCTAGATCAATTGGTTTGAAAGTTGTCCCACTTCACTGACCAGTCAATGGTAGTGTTCAGTTCTTTGGTATTACCCTGTAGATGAATTAGGACAAGATGAAAATGAGTTATCTTCAGTTACCATCAGTCCAGTAATAATGTCCCCCAAAAAAGGTTACCCTAACTCCAGGATGGAATTATGAAATTATGTTCAGAAGTAATTAATAATACATTACCTATTCTTAAACTCAAATGTGAGAATAAGGGGCTGGGAAGGTGGCTCAGTGGTAGAGTGCTTGCCTTACATGCAGGAGGCCCTGGGTTCGATTCCTCAGCACCACATAAGAAAAAAGAAAAAAGCCAGAAGTGGCGCTGTGGCTCAAGTGGTAGAGCACTAGCCTTGAGCTGAAGAGCTGAGGGACAGTGCCCAGGCCCAGAGTTCAGGCCCCACGACCAGACCCCCCTTCCCCCCAAAAAAATTGTGAGAATAAAACCTAAAGGTTAGTATAATTCACAATGTACAGACAGTTCATGTTTAATCAGAGAAAACTATTTGTATTTTTATATGTTCATCTAAGATAATTATCTTAACATTAGACTGTATTGTTCTGAAAATGACCCACATAAAAATTCACTGAACAGTTGAGTGCTGGTGGTTCATGCCTGTAATCCTAGCTTCTCAGGAGGCTGAGATCTGAGGATCAGGGTTCAAAGCCAGCCTGGGCAGGAAAAGTCTGTGAGACTCTTATCTCCAATAAACCACCCGAAAACCAGAAGTGGCGCTGTGGCTCAAAAGGTAGAGAGCTAGCCTTGAGCTGAAGAGCTGAGGGACAGCGCCCAGGCCCAGAGTTCAAGCCCCATGACCAAAAAATAAGAATAAAAATAAAAACAAAAAAATAAAAAGCTCAATACTGCCCGGGTACAAAGGAGAAGACTCTGTTATGTATGCAACAGACTTAAAGCTACCTATTCAATCTCCTAATTGGAGAGTGGAAATACAAATAAATGAACCCAACATTTCTTTGGGAGCTTATGCATTACCAAATTTCCATGATCACTATGTCCCCTGTGTACCTCAATCAGGAAGGAGAAGATCTAACTGGTACATCTACTTGCTCACCAGAAGAGCCCTAAGTGTGAGGCCATGCATTCTGCAGTGTTATAAGACTTCTAAAGGCTTATATTCAAAGCACATGTTCTAACACAGAATGCAAGGCAGGACCCCAAGTGACTGGCACAGTGCTGGAAAGCCCAGTTAAAACATACAAGGCACAGAAGAAAGGGAGCTATGATACTGAAGGTCCAGGAAGAAGAGTGGGCTCAGCCTTGGAAGAGAGTGGAATCTGGATTCACAGAGGATGGAGAAAAATAAAAACTGAGAGTCTAGTGTGGAACAGAGAAAGAACAGTATCTTAACTATACACAGAGGAGAGAAAATGAAGACTGCAGAGGCTGGAACCAGCACAGGAGGCATGAGGAACCTATGAAGTCTACTGGTACTTTCAGAAAAAGAAAATAAATGCAAGGTTAAACTTGCATCTATTATCAACAATACCCAGTTTTATTCTCCTTTACTTTTGGATTTTTCTTGTCTATATTCAGGGAAATGGAAGAAAGAATTTGTATTGGTGCTGTTTCTCCATTCAGTGGCTGGTTAATGGGATTTGCTAGAATTTATTCTAATTGGAAGGTAGAAACAGAGCCCTATGTGTATGCTGGTGCAGAGATACATGAACTTGCCTTAATGGGAGGATTGAAAGGTATTATGTTCATACATTTGTACAAATTTATAAATATACTATACATATGTGTGTATAAAGGTATGTATACATCTATTTCCCTAAAAAACGTGTGTAAACAATCTTTATTAAGCAAGATTGTATGCCCATGATCTGAGCATTGGTGGCTTGTGCCTGTAATGCTCGCTACTCAGGAGGCTGAGATCTGAGGATCACAGTTTGAAGCAGCCTGAGCAGGAAAGTAAATGAGACTCTCACCTCCAATTAACTACCACAACACTAGAAGTGGAGCTGTGGTTCAAGAGGTAGAGCACCAGCCTTGAGTGCAAAAGCTCAAAGACAGCATCTAGGCCCTGAATTCAATCCAGAGAGAGAGAGAGAGAACACAGAATAAGAGAGAAAGGAAAAGAGAGAAAGAAAAAAGGAAGGAAGGAAAGAAAAGAAAGAAACTATGTGCTAAGAAGCACTATAAAATACCTTTTATATTTTAAGCAAAAAGATTTCAAAGATAATTTCAAGTTCAATGCAATGAGCAATTGGGTTGTATTGTGTGTCAAGCACTATGAGCAAAGAGCAGGGTGAAGTTTCAGTCCCATAATGCTTAGGGTGACGTTTCAGTTAGCAAGAGCTCAGGGCAGGAAGTTCACCATTAGTAAGCAGCGATGAAATACTCAATACCCACCATTTTCAAATGCACAGCAGACTCTTGCATTTCTTGATTATCCAATCTTCTGGATTTCCCAGGTGGTGTCACAGCAAGAGAAAGAAAAAGAGGCACACGTGACATACATAAATTTCAGGCTCTTCATGTATGCAAATGATATGCTAAGGCCATGTTTTGGTAGGATTTTAATACCAAGTGATGGAGGCATCTCATTTTTCTCCTATGAAGCTCAGTCTAGCAAAGCCAGGGTTTGAAAAACTGTAGGATGAGCTTGAAGCTGTTCTGTACCACTGAGCCAGTGCTAAGAAGATCTGAATAAGAGCTGCAGGAGCATACACATGCACAGATAAGACTTACTGCAAGAACACTTTAGGAACTCTCCTCTACATAGAAGGAAGAGGACTGGAAGACATCTCTGCACAGGACTAAAAACAAGGAAGGAGAAACTTTCCATTATGTTGTCTATATGGTTAAGATGAGCATTTGAATGTAGTGCACTGACCCTTACAAAATGGGTATGGGACCATGTTTTTTTTTTTTTTTTTATGAAATGAGGGTTTTTTAAATGGTGTGGGTAAAGTTTGTGCAAATTCATTAAACTAAAAGTAAATACCCTTCCTCGTCATTATTCTAATTATTATTTCGTTCTAGTAGAATAAATCTTAAGAGGAAAACTGGTTGCCAGTGGCTCAAACCTGTTATCCTAGCTACTCAGAAGGCTGAGATCTGAGGATCACAGTTCTAAGTCAGCCTGTAGAAGAAAAACTATGTGATTCTTATCTCCTGTATCAACCATCAAAAAGTGAGAAGTGGCTCAGATAGTACAGCACCAACCTTGAGTGAAAAGCTAAAGGACAGCACCCATGCTCTGAGTTCAAACCACCCACCCAATCTAGATCTATAGATATATATGTTAGTGTAAATTACTCACTTTTTTTCCTCTCACGACTTTGCTTTTACTTTATTCCAGCTAAATAAATTGTAAAGTTTTATAAAGTCTATTTTAAAATGGCTACTTAGGGATCCTTGCCCAGTATGCATACATACATACATGAGCCCTCCAAAAATTAAATAAAGAAATAAATTTTGAAAAGAAGGTGGAGTTAGTAAAAGAATAATCATCTCTAATGATCTCTTTAAACATTTCTTAAACAACGGCAAAGACTGATCAGAACTGTGATCCTGGCTAGCTTCTTTTCTACAAGTTCCTGGATACAATGCAAATTTCAGCATTAGAGCCAACTCACTGAATTCACCCTGGCTTCCAGAAAAGGATGCCACAGTCCACCACCCTGAAATTCATATTCTTATGAGGTGTAAGCACTCAGCACAAATGTCAGCCCTCTGGCACTCTGCAAACATTGGGGCAGAGTATTTTAAGCAATAGGGTACATGCAGGCCAGGCATAAATTCAGGCTGGCTCTGTGGCAGATGTTAGGGAAGGGGTGCAGGAAGAACACATCAGGTGCAGAGATGCCCAGAATAGAAGGTGGTGCCCTTGAACTAGAAGCTTTCTTCAAGTCCACGATCTTTACACAGTAACAACTAGAGAATAATTATCCTGTGTGCTGAGCTCTGAGATTGAAGCCTTTGAGGAGAGTCCAGATGCCTACCACCCAACCTGGAGGAAGGAACTGCACTTGAAAAGCACAAGCCAGGGAGCTGGGAAGGTGGCTCAGTGGTAGAGTGCTTGCCTTGCATGCATAAGGTCTTGGGTTCGATTCCTCAGCACCACCTAAGCAGAAAAAGCTAGAAGTGGCGCTGTGGCTCCAGTGGTAGAGCACTAGCCTTGAGCTGAAGAGCTGAGGGACAGCGCCCAGGCCCAGAGTTCAGGCCCAATGACTGGCAAAAAAAAAAAAAAAAAAAGAAAAGCACAAGCCAGATAGCCAGATATTAGGTGACAACTTTAGTTACAGGATGACACCCAAAGGTAACCATTTACCAAGCAGTTAATGGAGATCATTAATGTACTTGCTTTATAAAACAAAACTCAAACTAATCAAGGAGGCTTGGTGCTGTTTTACTGGAAAGCAAAAAAGATGTTCACTGACACAACCTGAATTCTGACACCTGGAGGGACACATAAGATATTCTGAACTGCATTTTGAGAGAGGGCTGGTCCTCATTTACTCTTCTCTCACAAATCAGTTCAGTGTCTGCAGCTTGGATTCATCCAGGGCAGCTAGCTCACGAACAATCTAACCATCAGTCCATTTGTTTGTTTTTTGTATAGTTGTACTGATTTCCTTGGAACATTAAAGTAATTCTCCCTAATTAGGTTTTTAATTTGGTACTAAAAATACAAAAGCTGGAAAGCGAAACTTTTCCAATACATGAATCAAAAATGAAAGTGAACTGAAAGGGGAGGGGCTGGAGGAAAGAGGAAATAAGACAATTCAAAGTGGGCTTAAAAGAAGGCAACCTATATCAAGATTGTCAAGCAGAACAGAGTTATAGAACTCCTGAAGATAAACTTTCAGGATTTGCCTGGGACTGCTCTGGCCTCAGGCACCTGGTACACTTTCCACAGGGAGGAAAGCCAAGCAGGTGGTGGGGGGGGCGCGGTGGCCCTACAGACTATGACCGTCATGGAAGCTGACTTCTGACCTTGACTCTGTTCTGGAGCAGTGCACAAGGGCAAGCAACATCCAGAGATGTTGGGTTTGGGTACAACCTGACTGCCAGACCCAACAGAGGTTTCATGATGGTCTGCTACATTTTCAATCATTTTTGTGATTTAAACTAAAAACACACTATATAAACCCTGTACACTTGATTACTGAAATCTGACATAATCACGATGTTCTAAGGTGTCTCTGTCATGTCATGTTTGAGTCCTGCTGGGTGCTGAGGAATGGACAAGGAGGAACGCATGGCTTCCACAGCTTAGGCATGCACTGCTCCACTGAGCTCCATCCCAGCCCTCACATAGCTGAATCTTCATGTTCAAAAACACAAGTTATATTGTAATCTAGCTTTTGTTAATTCATAAAAGACACCCAGTATAATGGCAGTTTATAATATCCTAGATATGGCTCCTGGGTATTGGTTAAAATGGAAATAATCTTTGTTATCAGCTATAATAAATGGTTTCTAATCCCAGGGACAGAAAGCAGGTGGCCCAGAGCAGCTGGTGAAGAGGCGTGGGGACTCTCGTCCCAAGGGAGAGAGACACTTCTTTCTAGCTGTCACCTACAAGAAACTCTCAAAACCAGACTGTATAAACGAAGACACCTGCAAGTCCCACATGTTCCACACTTTTGCAAACTGCAAAGAACTTTCTCACTACCTGCCTCATTCTACTTTTGTTTCTCAATGTGTCTTCTTAAATGCCCCTCAATTTCAAAATGATAAAGAATTAACTAAGAATCATGTCAAACTTAAATACCACGAACTCCCAAGCACACACAAACTGTAAACAAACACTTACCCTGAAGGTAACCGGACCAGCTGGGCCAGCGAAAGAAAATTCTTCCTGTTGGAGGAGAACTAATATAGACCAGGTGCCAGAGGGCGGTTCCTGAAGCCTGGCCGAGCCTATGCTGAGCAGCCATGACGCTGCTCAGACAGGGCGGGCCACCCGCTGCTCTGAGCATGTCAACAGCTGGACCCAGGGTGGTAAGAAAAGCCTGGGGACACAGGAAGGAGCCTCTTGCTCTAACACTGACAGACGTCCCTCCCCTACGTGCTTTGGATTTGCCTGTGTGCCTGTAAAGTGTGGGCTTGTTTGGGTGGACTTGGCAGCTATCCAGAGTAAGGAGGCCAGGTTGAGGCTGGCAGCCAGCACTGGGGACAGGGGCAGGGTTTCAGTTTGGGAAGCGAGAGAGTTCTGAAGGTGGCTGTGATGATTACACAACCATGCTGGGTATAGTGCTGCCTCACGGGGGCCCTTCAGCATTATGCAACATTATGTAAAAGTGGGGTCCACAGAATGCTAATAGTCCTCTGGGCAGGCTGTGCTGGAGGAGAGCGGCTGCGGTGAGAGAGGCTTTTACTGAAGGAGAGCGGGTGCGGTTAGAGTGGCTTTTATCTTGTTCTTCCTATTTTCCTGTATTTTCGGTGAACTTTAACAAGACCATGCCATAAGAACTAATTTTCGTTTTTAAATACCAAAAAAGCCAGGTATAAGAATGGGTCCCAGATTACACAGTATTGCTCCTGTAGACCCCATTAAAACAAATAAACAAACAAAAAATACACAACAAATACACAAGACCAAGAAAACATTCCTTCCAGTTAGAAAGCAAAGCAGCCGGATTGCGGGAAAGAAAACATTTTAAAAGAAAACCAGTCCTGCTTTTAAACTGTCATGTGCTAAGACCTTGTCAGGACCTGCCAGCACATGCGGCTGAGCTCAGGAGCTTTATCATCTAGAACACAGCTAAGCTACAATGACATAAATAAACTTTCAGAGCACCTCCCTCTCTCCAGTGCTTAGAGAAATCTCACCCAGGCAACCCTTCAGAAACGAAACTTCATGAAGTAGTATTTTCTAGTTAAAACAAGAAAAAGCTGTTTACCAATTTTTGTGGGTTTTTGTTTTGTTTTGTTTTTTAAACTGGCCCAGGCTGGCTTCCAACTCCTAGGCTCAAGTAATTCTTCTGCCTGCTCAGCCTCCTGGGTTGTGGGGACATTACCATGCCAGCTTTCAAATAGCTTTTACAAAAATAAACTGCTTTTTAAAGGGCTGAATACAGTGGTTCAGGCCTGTAATCCTAGCTACTCGGGAGGAAGAGGTAGGAGGACAACAGGCCAAGGCCAGCAAAACTTGGTGACTCTATCTGAAAGGCCCTGAGTTAAAACCCCAGTACCACAGAGAACGGCCTTCTCTTTCTCACATCACTTGAGTCTAGTAATCCCTCCGGAGGACACAAGGACACAGTTGCAAGGATGCGTACTGTGGATGTGTTTGGTTGTTTTTTTTTAAATAATTTTTATTGTGATTGATTACATAAATTTCACAGTATTGTGAGATAATGATAACCATCCTAACCAAATTGTCATTATCTTGGTCTATAAAGTTTGTGTGTGGATGTGTTTTATAATACGAGGAAACTCACACCTAGTACTGGTGGTTCATGCCTATAATCCTAGCTACTCAGGAAGCTGAAATTTGAAGCCAGAGAAGGCTGACAGAATTGAAAGACTCTTACCTCCAATAAACTGGAGAAAAGCCTGAAATGGAACTGTGGCTCATGTGGTAGATTGCCAGCTTTGAATGAAAAACCTAAGGGAAAGTGTTCTGGCTTTAGGATTGGCTGTGCATGCAAGTGAGTACACACATGGACACACAAGTACATACATGTGCACACACACAGAAACTGAAAATCATCTAAACAATAATTTAGTAGAGGTAGGGACTGGAATCTGGTTGGATGGATGCATTCCTGAGAATGCGAAGGGCACCAAACAAAGCCAGAAAAGTGACCATACTGTGATCCATACCTGAAACACAATCCTACGCGGCTCTTACCAGTGGCTGTCATCACTGGCTAAAATGCTAAATCCTAGGCAGGTGACATTCCTTATTCTTCTACTTGTAACTCTGGAGGCATGAGCCATTACCATTTTCCTTTCATGGGGGAGCATGAGGCTACCAGCTGGCAAGTAGCAGAAGTAGATGAGAATGCAGGTCTGACTCCAGAGTCAGAGCCCAAGTGTGTGAGTACTAGTCCAGCCTGGTCCATAGGATCCTTCCTCACAGACACACTGACGCACTGGCACAGCTCAGTGCTGAGAGCCAGAGTCCAGTTATGAGGAGAAAAGGTTTTTGTTGGTTTGGGGGCTTGAAGAAAAGTTTTCTTAACATCAATTTTGTGAGCATAAATTGTGTGAGATTAAAACGTCAGAATGAGCTGGGAGCCAGCGGCTCAAGCCTGTAATCCTAGCTACTTAGGAGGCTGAGATCTGAAGATCACAGTTCGAAGCCCACCTGGGGAACGAAAGACCATGAATCTCTCATTTCCAATTAACCACCAGAAAACCAGAAGTGGCAAGTGGTAGAGTGCTACCTTTGAGCAAAAGAGGCTCAGGGATAGTGCCCAGGTCCTGAGTTCAAGCCCCATAATCAACAAAACGAAACAAAACAAGTACAATAGTAACACTATTCTGTTATTCCTCTCCATCATCAGAAAATTTATAAAGCTAGTGCATCATCATACACATGGACTGCTTAGAGCTTTGCAAGAAGAAACCTATTTGTGCTGGAAATGTGGCTTAGTGGTAGAGCACTTGCCTAGCATCTATGAAATCCTGGGTTCGATTCCTCAGTACCACATAAACAGAAAAAGCCAGAGGTGGCACTCTGGCTCAAGTGGTAGAGTGCTAGCTTTGAGCAAAAGAAGCTTAGGGACAGCACCCAGACCCTAAATTCAAGCCTCAGGACTGGCAAAAAGAAAAATAAATAAATAAAAAGCTACCTATGGCATGAAAAGAAGCTGGAGGAAATCATCTAAGATGACTATGGGAGCCAGGTACAGAGGGCTACAGCTGGAGGCCAGCCTTGGTTACCTAGCAAAGCCAACTCCATGTACAGGGGTTTTAAGGACAAGTGTTTTTTTTTTGGGGGGGGGCATGTGTGGCTCTAGGAACTCAAATGCAGGGAAGCAGGGTGTTACTTCCTGCCTGGACACTGTGCTGTCCTCTGACTCTGCCCATAGCTAGTTGGCCTAGTGGACTGTGTAGGCTGTAAGCTGAGGCTCTATAAAGAAGGTGTGGATGTTTGGAGGGATTTACATTCACCAAGCTTGACTGACATATCTCTAGGGATTTCCTCCTGTTTGTCAGAGTCAGGTGTGTGAATATTCAGCCCTTAACAGATGTTCTAATTTTATCAGTAGAATAACAAGACAATACAAGGGCGCCAGAGGCTCACACCTGTAACCCTAGCTACTCAGGAGGCTGAGATCTGAGGATCGAGGTTCAAAGCCAACCCTGGGCAGGAAAGTCCATGAGACTCTTATCTCCAACAAACCGAAGTGATTTAAGTGGTAGAGGGCTAGCCTTGAGCTGAAGAGCTGAGCGACAGTGCCCAGGTTCAGAGTTCAAATCCCATGGCCCACAAAAAAAAAAGAAAGAAAGAAAAAGAAAAGAAAAAGAAAAAAAAGAATACAGGGGCTGGGAATGTGGCTTGGCAGTAGAGTCCCTGTGTAGCAATCCGGAGGCCCAAAAGTTCAGACCGCAGAGCCATCCCCCCCAAAGAATGTTCCCCTACAGAGAAGGAATATGAAGTCTGGATGAACTGACTTACTACTTCTGTGATTTATGCACAAGAGCAGCAATTTCTTCTTTCGTACAGAGTGCTGTCTCTAAGTAGTATTACATCTCTACAGTGACACTAAGGACTCAAGAAGTCTGCCTGTAAGAATGTTCTAGATGTACCACAGCCCAGCCCAGGAATAGGGACACACAGAGGTGAATTAAAAACAAGCAAGCAGTTTTGGATGGGGGATGCTAGTCCTAGGTGGAGTGCTTGCCTGCTAGTCTTGAAGCCCTCAATTTGATCCCCAGCACCAAATAAAAAAACAAACATTTTGTTTCAAATAGGTTGTTTTTGTTTGTTTTCTTGTGATGGGTTAGAAAGAATGAAGGAATAAGAGCAGGAGCTTCATTAGTAGGACGGACTTTCAACTCTGTAGAAGAACTGCTGGTCTCCATAGAGACACATACCACTCAGGTGCACCCAGGCAAGCGCCACCCAAAGTTTAAAGGCCAACAGGAAGAGTAGAGGATTTCCCATGTAGGGTACTCTCTCCAGTTTGACAATGGATGTAACCATAACTGGTAACTTCTTCCTTTTTTTGTTTTTATAGGAATGGATATCTTGATCAGTGAAGAACACAATATCTATTTGTGCTCAGAGCACTGTAAATACTGCCTATTAATCAATCCACTTGAACTTTAGGATTTGAAGTGCTAAAAATGATCACTTCATATTTGGTTAATATAAAGTTTCTGAGCCAAGTATCGCGTGGCACACACCTCTATTCCCATCATTTGGGACCCTGAGGCAGGAGAAACAAGATTTCTTAGTCACCCTGGGCTGCAAAGCACGACCAGGTGTCCAAAACCAAGGGGAGAGGGTCCTCTACAGAAAAGTATACTTGTGTATTATAATCTTTATGACTGTTGACTTAAGTACCAGGACAGGGAAGTAACAACTAAATCCAACACATCAGAATCCCACAGCTGGAATGTGTACAGGTGATGCTCAACATTCCAGTCTAAGAATACCAAATCATAATTGGGTTGTCATAATCCAATGATCACTCCAACAAGGAATGCAGTTTTAAACATCAACCAAAGCTTGGCTGACACCCCAGGAGTTGTTGAAGCCAATAGGATGAAACCAAATAAGGAAAGCCTATCGTGAACGATTTCCTACACTGACTTGCCCAGCTCTGCCTTCCTGCCAACTCTGTAAACTTACAAGATGGATTTTCAGCATGTAAAGAATCACTCTAGGTATTTGGTTCTTCTTCAAACTTCCCTGAGAAGGCAGCAGAGACCTGGCTTCAGGAATGTGATGGTTCAAACAAAACTTGAACTGGCTCTAGAAATGCATCTTTGAATATGGCCTCAAATTTCAGGAAACTGTTCTCACTATAAACACAAGTGTAGGTGAT